TTTTTATTGAAATGGTTGTGACATTTTAATAATCTATATATTTATACAATTTTTTCAAAGCAACTCATTAATTTATTTATTAATTAATGATATTATAAATTACTAAAGAATCTTGGATAAGTTTTTATGTTGGTCCCCTAATTTGTAAGTGATAAAAAATTCAATAGAAAAAATTTTGTTTTATTTCTTAACGCATTTCAAAAATTTTGTTACTTAAAATTTTACTAAATTATTTTGAAAAAAAATCAATTATTATTTATTAAAAATAAATTGTCTGTTCTGAAACCATATTGTTATTTTTACAGAATTTCATTTGAAAAAATTAATTTATTAAAAAATTTTCAAATAAAAAAAATTGAAATTTTTATCTTGATAGGTAAAAAAATAATAAGTATAATTAAAATCATCTTCCTGGTATTTATGTACTAACAATAAATTAATCCCTTGTAAGTCATGAGAATTAAAAAAAACCTCATCAGCTCATCACGACATTGAATAGTCGGTGAAGATATTGTGAAAGTTTGTAAATTGGTTTATATGATTGAGAACGTGCGTTAAAAAAATAAAAGTTGCTAAAAATTGTTGCATATAAAAAAATAAATAAAAATGAAGATTTCTCGTAAGATAATATGCGTGATAGAGCTCATTATCATTAGAGTGATCATCATCAGCAGCAGCAGTCAGCAGTTTGCCGTCATACTTGTAACGAAATAGAAATCGGTACCGGAAGCAAAAACGTTTGATTCAGAGGTGTAAGAACAAAAGAAATAAATATTGTTTTTTTACTTTCGTATTAATAATAATGCTATAATCGCGATGCTTAGGAAAATTGGAACAGGATTAATACTTAATGATGGTTATTTCAACAGGTTTTTTGTTCCATATAGCGGGTTATAGACTTAAACATATGCATTAACTTTTTAGGTGAGACTTATACTTAAATGTTATAATTGTAATCAGCAAAATACGTTTTTTTTTCTTCGATACAATGTTAATATAATGTTTTTATTACAATATTTCAATATAGAAAGGTTTATATTTAAGTGGAATATTTTAATGTATTTAATATTAATTTAATGTAGGAATTTTGTGAAGAAATAATAAAATAATGTGTTTGATGATTACAAAACTATAATTAGGCAGACAAAAAAAAAAAGCTGTGATACGGTGATGGGAAAGTTTTATTTTGAGTCAATTAATGTTAATAAATAGAGACCTGAGGCAGCATGGGACTGTCTTGTAAATAAATATTCTTTCATAACAAAACTTTTATATCTTCAAAATTGTTTTCCAAACTTTAACTTTGAGAGAAAAAATTTATTTTAAAAAAATGGACATTGTTGTAGCAAGAAATTAATTTTCAACAATTTTATTTCTTAGCTGAAGAAATCAAAATTTTAGATAGACAGCTTGCGAATTTTTATCAAAAATTGTTTTCTCCCAAATCTAGAAAATTTTTTTTCAACAATAAGATTACTGTGAGAAAACATTTCTCATTTTTTTTCAAAAGAAATTTATTTTCTCAATGTAGACTTTTTTTTTTTACTGAAACTGTAAAGAAATTTTCTAAACACAATCTCCAAGGTTAGTCTTTCAAAATTTTGCCAGTAAAAATTGTCCATTTCTCGGCAAATAAATAATTTTAAAAGCTTTTAGATCTTTCAAAATGTTTCATAAGGTTGTTGACTTTTCCAAACAGTTCCCAGACACACATCTTACATAAAATAAAATGTTGGAAGTAAAAATTATTGTCATTCCCAAGAATTTCTCTAGGCGTATAATCATCGCAAAACTTTTGTGACTGCATATTAAGCTTAAAATATAATGTAATGGTAATTACTGTCATTAGAAATCTTCAGTGGTTACCAAATGACAGTTTTTTAGATTTACATTAATCAACAATAAATACGGCAAAACAAAAACAATCCCCAAAACAAATCGTTTATTTCCGTAGTTTTCTGTCGTCGCTATAATTTACATATTTTTACTATGAATAATAAATAATATGAGAGTATAAATATATATTGAAGGACAAGGTCTTTTAGAGCTGTATAAATAATTATCATCAACAATAATATTTACCACTTTCGTGATAATATTAACTGATGTAACCTCCAGAGGATTTATAATATCTGTACATGGTATATAATCCTCTCAACTAAAAAAATTTTCACATTAAATTATCATTACCCTACTACTTAATATATGTATTACGAAAATTCTGTCCCTGTGCAAAAAAAAATTTCTCTCATGAATTTTATTATTAAGTTCGTATTTTGAGACAAATTTTACAATAACTTTCTAAAAAACCTTTTCAATTTTTTAAAAAATACTTCTTTTTTCAAATGTAGAAAAAAATAATTAATAGAATTTGATTGATAATATTTTATAAAAAAATTAAAACAATTATTTAAATATCAATTAATGAAAATAAAATTCATCATAAAACAAAATTTTTTTGCACGTACTTAGGACGTATTATAATTACAAATAACATTTACTCATTAATAAAACTCATAAATTTTTGTAAGAAAATTAAAGTAATTTTTTGATAGGTATAATATTTGTTTAAAAACATAAATTGAAATTCATATCAAGAAAAAATTTCTTTGTACAGGTTACTATGAAAAATTTCAATAACAAAAATGAAAATTAAAAGAAAAAAAGACAAAATTATAGAAAAGATAATTTAGCACAGATTCTCAATAAACAAAACCTTGCAAACTTTCACATGTACACTTAACCCAAGTGCCGACTTCATTCAAGCTGATGAATCAAAAAAATTCTCATGAATTACAAGATATTAATACATTATACATTACTACTATTACTATTAACACATAAATACCGTGAAGACAGTTAATTTAAAAACCACGAAATTATACTTACAATTAGACCAGCAGCATCTACCAGCGAAAGAGAGAGCAAAAGATAAAGATAGTATCTAGGAGAATGGGTTAATTCAACCCATGATCATCAACTTTATCGTCCTTCCTTTCTCTCCTTTATTACTTGATTAACGCTGCTTATTAATTCCTGATTCATCAAACTTAATCCTCCACATTAATCCCTGCAAACTCACAACACACAAGACATATCATACATGTTTATTTAAATTAGGTATCATTTGTTTCTCGAAAACATTTATATTAACATTACCCATCGGAGGACTATCATTGACTAAAATTGTAAACAATATTTTTTTTTAATAATAATAATAATAATAAAATACACTCACATTCTCCTGTGACTTGATTTTACGTGCATATGGCATACCGAAGAAACCACCTGGTGGGGTACGACCCAGATAGCAGTCATTCGAAGGCTCTACTACTGAACAGCCGCACGGTTTGAGCTCACCAGGGTACCGCGGGAGTATCATACTGTTGGGTCCCCGCTAGTTTATCGGCTACCGCCGTGCCGACAACACGTTCTTTGATTTTATTTATCATTAATTTACAGTTTTTTCCTTTAATTTATCTAAAGTGAGTGATTTTATTCCGTAAATTTATTTCTTTAAGATGATTAAATTTTTTTGAAGATTTGTAATTATAAATTTAATTAATTATAAAATTAATAATTAATAATTAAAGTATAACATTCGAACGCAAGAAAATAAATAATACCAAGTTTTAATTATTATCATTGATATTGTCAATAAAATAATTAGTGAGGAATAATTAACAAGTGAAACGTCAACGCGAAGAAAACTAGCACGCGAAAAGCGAAGCGGTTGTACGTGTATACAATGTACATGTCTATTGTTTATATAAAAAGTAACTTACGGGTTAATTATTGACGTACACGTGTTGAAGAGTATAAATTTTAGCATTGTTATTATTGTTGCAAGTACAAGAAGTATATACAGGGGCGGGCAACGCATTGAAGACCGGAATTTAACAAGAAAGTTTATACCTTTCTCATTCCCGGTGACGACTTTAAGAGAGTTTATTAGCGCTAGATAATTATAATTAAATTCAACCAACCAGTCATTGTGTCTGAGGCTCCCACGACGTCTACTACGAGGCTGGTTTCCTTACTACGGTTTTTTCTCACGATTAATGAAGTACACGGGCACTACACTATTTTTATGCTCTCGTAGTCGTAAGGGAACTCAAGAAAACTAGGAAGAGGAAACTGCTCTCGCGCGTGGCCGGAAATGCCAAATTTATATTTTGCAGTAATTTTATAATATAATATGAGATGAAATTAATTGTAAGCTTATTCGCCAATTTTTACAGATTTTCTTATTGGTTGATTAAGGTCACATTTTTTTTATTTTTATGATCAACATTATGATTATGATTATTACTATTACATATCCTCGTTTTGATAAAAAAAAAAAGAAACTCGCGTTGTCATTCTGGGTAAATTAATGTAAAAATGGCTTTCTATTTAAATTCTAGGAAATATTACTTGCGTGAGAATGTTATATTGTTGTCAATAATTGATAGTTTCTGTACACTGTTGTTGAGTTTTTTTTTTTTTTTTTTTTAAAGAAATTTTTGTCCTTGAAATTTTAAACTTGTAAATTTTGTGGGAATAATTAAGACAAAATTAAAGCTCAGCTTTAAATTAAAATAAATTTTCAGTTGATATTTTTGATAGTGGCAATTGAAAATTTTCATTCTAAAAAATTGAATAAAGTCACAAATTGGTCAAAAAAATTATAATAATTAAAATAATGATAATAAGAATTAATTAAAGCTGAGCTAAAAATACATTAATTAAAATTTTTTATCAATTTATTTATAATTATAAATTACAAAAAAAAAATTTCTCAATATTTACAATTTTTCAAGTCACTGGTTTTAATATTTAACAAAATTTTTATCGAGCCATAAATCATAAAAAAAATTCATAAACAAATAAATTGACTGTTACTTAAAAAAAAAAAAAATTTCAACAGTGTAAAAATTAATAATTACAAATCAGTACCGTAAAAAACGCAAAAATTTATAGGCAATGTCAAGGTGAAGTGAACTGTTAAAATTCTTAAAATGTACCGCGAAGTGTCAGATGTGGAGGGAGTGTTCTCGCGGCGAATGTCCAGTAATTGGGCCGAGCTGCCCCAAACACTGCGCCGTCGCCAAAAGCACCGTCCCGAAATCCTGAACCAATTCACGGACAATTTTGACTCTCAGGAACCAGAGTTCCGAAAAAATGAGTCTCAGCCCCCGATGGACGTGCGAAGAATAGTAAAGCGCTCAGAATTCTTACGAAAATTTGAGATGAACGAATCGGAGCATAAAAACGATTCCTGCTGGGACCAACGCTCCGAAAAACGATTAATCTACAACGACTACAAAAAGACCGACTTTGGTCCTAAATTTTTCTCGAGAGTCAACCCGAATTTTCCCAGCATGATGATCAGAAACGAGTACCGCAGTCTCTCAGACGAAGAACGGAAAACAAATTCTCCTGATAGTTTGTTAGTTAAATCCTCAGATTCGGACTCTAGTAGCGACGAATACGGGCACACAGACGATTCAGGAGCATTTCTTGAAAATGACAAACTAAATGCCGGTCAAATTGGACAACGTGGTCGCATTGCAAAATTATTTTCTCGAGAAGAAAACACTAAAAAATCTTCCAGCAAAGTAAACAGCAGCGTTAAACATCAGGAACAAATTTCAAACAGAAAGTCTTCGAGCAGCGAATCGCGGAAGTCTGTGAAAGATGCCCAACTGGTCACGAACAAGAGTTCCGATCATCTCGAGGAATCTCGAAGGAGCACTTCCTCGTACGAGTACGAAAACATTCCAAGGATTGATGTCTCAAAGGTTCTTGGCGAGCAACCAAAGACGCGTGGTACTAATACTGATCGTAGGCACCCGACTATTGAAGAATTAAGAATGGAGGTCGGGTGTCAACTCAGGAGTCGTAATTCTTACGAACCTCGTCAGGAAAATCACTTAAGAAAAATTAGCTTACAAGGTTCGAATTCTCCGGTTTCATTATCGAGTTCTTCGCCTCCGGGTTATTATAGTAATAATATTAATAATAACAATAATAATAATAATAATAATAATAATAATAATTGCAATCGATCATCGATGGAAGAGCTGAGGCTCGAGGGGTTCATTCAGGACATGTGTAAGATGGAGCAAACTAATAATAATAGCAATGGGAACCGCGTTAATGGTGAGAAGAAAAAATCAAAAATGGAAACAATCACCGAGGAGAAGCAAGACGGAAGTAAACTAAGTGTTAGGGAAATTCTCAAGAGATTCGAGGAGCTGAGAATGCAAAATGAAGCCCAACAACAACAGCAGCAGCAACAGGTTGAAGAAAAAGAAAAAAGTGGAGATAAAACGCTTACTACTATTCAGGAAACACTGCAGAAATTGGACGAGAAGGTCAAGCGATCGAGTAACCAGGTTGAGACGAGTTTTACAGTATTCTTTTATGTTTTATTTGAGTTAATTTATTAATAATAATGTTTATGTATTATGTTATGTTATGCTGCAAGATGTAAGATATAACGGGTTAAAAGTCTGACTGGGTGTTTATCAGTGCAGTTGTTGTATATTGTAGGTATTATGACCGTGTAATTGTGGATGTGGTGGATGGTGGTTAGTATAGTCGAGTAGCTATTCGGGGCGTATTAAATAAATCATAAAAAATTCATACGAATCCGAGCGTTAATTATTTAGTGCAGAACCTGCCGACTGTGACGGATAGACGGAGATTCGAGAATATGGAACGTACATGGTAATCCTGGGTAACTGTAGAATGTTTGAGCACGTCGAACTTTACACTCTCTTTCGTTCGATGGATGATATCATGCAGATGGTTATGAATGAATTCGATTCTGATTTAAAAGGTTTTTTATTTTTTTGGTATCTCTACAATAAAAATACATGACAGTTTGAAGTTAGTCAATAGTCGAAAAAATGAGACCTGATTCCTTATTGGTAGAATATAAACCCTCCTCAGTTACTATTGGTCAATCTCCTGGCACGTGAACATATCAATATATCGATATAAATCGAACAGGATAAATTCATTCGAGAATTTCGATAGGGGGCACGCGAATGCGCGCCGTTAAAAATTCTAGTTAAGATAAAGTGAGTGGAAAATTTTTATATTTTTCAAGGATGATGACTCGAATTAGACGAATTAAATTAATTAATTAAAAATCCTAGAAGAAATGTTTAATACCTTGGTAATATCAAACGCAAAATTGTATCGTAAAACAGAAGAAAATTATTTCTATTGCAAGTAAATATTATGCAATAAAATTTTTATTGAATCGCTCATTAAGTAACTTTACAAATATAAATTTTATTTTATTCAACTGAGTGTTTATTTAATTCAATAAAAATTTTTTTTAATTAAAAAAAAAATTAACAAGTAAGCAAATAATATTTAATTGAATCTAATTACTTTGGAGCATTCCTTTCAAGTCTTTAATCCATCAGTACTATACATTTATTTTCAAACTATCCATGATACTAGAATCGTAATTATTTTTATCAACAATTACATTAAGTTACTTTTAGAATAAATCTTGATTCTGAAATCATTGATTTCTTTAATAGCTAAGATTTTAACGAAATTTTTTATCTACTACTATAAGTTTCTTTCGGAACAACCGATAATGCTAGAATCTATTCTTTGCAATTGAGAATTTGATTTTAAGTTTTAAATCAGATACAATAAATCTATGAAGCTAGAACCATTAAATTTTAAGCGGCTAAGATTTTAATTTGATTAAAAATTTTTAATCCATTTCAATAACATTATATCGGAACAACCCATGGTGCTAGAATTATTTATTTTTACATGAATCAGTTTAAATTTAAATTTTATCGGAAAATCACTTTTCTTACAATATCTTTCAATTTTTGAATACATATACTTTTAAGTGTCCTTCATACGAAGGAATTTTTTTTTAATAGTCCTTACGGCACTAAATTTCGAAATATTAGCGATTAAAAATTGATTTAACATGTATTCCCTATGCTGACTGAAGTTAGAGTGAACATTTTATTAAATAACAACCATACTTTTCTCAGAATTATTTTATGAAAGTAATAATAATTAATTGAAGATATAACAAGTATTTTTTATCAAAAATAACATAAATGAGCGGTATTCATTTTTTTTTAATTTTTGAAGTTAGTGACTTTCGATATCTTACTTACTTCGAAGTAAGTGAGAGATAGTCTGTAAAGAGAGGCAAGACTAGTGCGTGAGAAAGAAACCAATAGCCGTAACCTATTGATGTTTTTTTCTTACCTATGAACATCCTTAAGATTTTTAATTCAATGCTATAAATTTATTTAAGGACAATCAATAAAACTAAAATTGTCAATTTTTTTAGCAACCATTTTCAAGCTGAGATTTTAATTTTCTCTTGCATCATCTTGCATATGTATTTTTAACATAAAATTGCAATAAAAATTAAATATCAAGGACAGCAACTAGAAAAAAATCAACTCAGCTTATATTTCTCAGATTTTCATAGAAACTATATGACCAGATCTTGACTCGTCTAGAATATATAATATAATAGTAAAGAGTAATTTAAGATCCTAGAGAATTTCGATCGATGCATTAATTCCGCGCTCAACCGCCTTCAAGAATAATCGCATTCCGCTCTAAATGACCAAGGGAGGTCTTATCCGTGAGCATTTGATTGCATGGATAACTCGTTTTCTCGTGTTATAGTAAGACGAGAGATCGAACGCGGTATATATAATAATCTTAAGATACGTGGTACGTGCTAGAGTTCCTTGTAAATTCGATAAAAAAAACTCTTTAAATTACAAATTACGTAAATAAATAAATAATTAAAAAGTCGAAAGTTTAAGAAATTTTAAAAATTTTTTTACATTTTTAATCAAGAGATAGTAATTATTTAGGTCAGATTTCAATCAGAAATTTTTATTAATTACCGTCTTCGGAAATATTAATTATTAATTGCATTCGCTTCTTAAAATTTGTTTCATGCATTATTAATAAATTTTTTGTTTGTTTTTTTTTTGCAGGTTGACCAAAAACCGCAGCACAAGACCCATCACGAGAACCACGTCTCGCAGATTACGAAATCGATCCAGTCTCAACCGAGCTACGGGAATAATAACAGTAATAATAACAATAATAATAACGTCAGTCACAACAATCAAATTCACAATCAATCAAACCACGTTAACCGGGAGACAAATCACTCGCCCGTAAACCGAGTCCCGGGGGGTCACACGTCCCCAATAGTACAGGCAAATGGCGGAAGCAACCACAACCAGAAAAACCACCGCAACAGTCAGCATCACGGCGGCCAAAATCAGGAATGGCGGCAGCCTGAAGAAACTAATAATAAATCCCCCGAAGAAGAATTTTACGAGTGCGGACCGGTTGTTAATGATGGAAAGCACTCACTACTTCAATATGCCATGTTAAATTTCCGGCAGAGCACTGAAAAGTAGGTTTTTTTTCTTCATCTTAGTGAATACAAAAATCTAATTTTTTTTTAATATTTTGAGAACAAACTGCAGCTTATACACAGTAAAAAATTTTGCTTCATTGTGTCGAAAAATTTTGAGTTAAAAATTTGTATGTTAAATATTTAACACTTTTTTGTGTTGATTAAACACAATAAATGTTAAATTTACACATAAAAGCGTTAAATATTTAACACAAAAATTTTTAACACTAAGTATTTTGACGCAAAATTTTTTACTGTGTGGAAAAAAAAACTTTTTATATCATTTATCAAATTTTAGTAAAATCATTTAGTTCTTTACCATTTTTAGATTTTTATTTCTAACAAACAAATTTGTACAATGATAGAAGGATTTATTAACTATTAATAATTCAATTTATTTGAAAACAATTATTTAATTTATTGAATTTTAATAAATATTTTTTAATATTCAATAAATATTTATTTGGGAGGAAAGTACATTTATTAATAGTTAATTTTTGTTTCGCTTGCAATGTTATATATGAAGATTGCTTATAAACAAAAATTATCTTTATAAATTATATATTTGCATTAATTATGTTGCATTATAATAACGTTTATTGCAACATACCGAATTCTATCACAGGTCATAATTACCTTTTATATTTTTAAATATTAAAACCGTTAAATTATTTGGTGAATTGAATTATCGTGTATTCCAGCTATAGAGTTATAAAAAGTATGTCAAAAGAAAATTGCTAATTTTACTTTTGATTTTAAATAAACATTTGTTAACATTTAATAAATCAAATTTAATAAATAATTTATTAACTAGTAAGGTAAAAGCCTTATGATCACTTTATGATCACTCCATGTATTTATATACCTATATTTGTGAATACTGAAAAAATATTTTAAATAATTCCATTCATATTTTTTTTTAATTTTTACGAGAAGAATTCATTTCTGTTAAACTATTTATCAGTTACAAAAAATTCTAAGAAATGTCTATTGAATTTAGTTTCATAAAAAATTTTATTAAAAAAATTTTGCATCGACGTGAGTTGGTCTGAACTCAAACGAATTAATTAATAGATTGATTCTTAATTTTTAATTCCAATTTTTGGCTCTCTGTTTTTTATTTAATTTTTTATTATTATTAACATATATATATTTTTTTTTAATTGATCACTTTATCATGTCATTCATTCGTCATATCGTGTAGTTTCATAATTTAAAAGTTTCCTATTCCATAAAGTATAATAAAAATTTTTTTTATTTTTTTGAAATAAATTTAAAAAAAAAGAAAAGTTTGTTCTTAAATAAAAAAAAAAGGATATTATTAACTTAAAAAATTAGAGTAGCAATTTATGTCCAAAGGCAAAATTTTTTATTAATCTAATCTGTCATAAATCTATGATTTATAACTTAATTAATGAACTAATTAATTAATTAATTAATTGGCTTGTTTTATGTTAGTGTGTAATTATTAATTGTTATTATTCTTATAATGATTATATTAGGAAATAAATATATAAAACAGGTGGTAATTGTATCAAATTAGTCGCATTAACAGTATCGCGGTGGAAAATCTTAACATGAAAAATAAAAATAACGATGGCTGGGCATGTACGCGGTAACAACTTTCACGATAAAAATGTCAATGACTTGTGGCATGTGGCATGTGGCCACATGCCAATAAGAGCATCATTTAAGTAAAGTATCAGTAGACCGAAGTGAAAAGTAAACGCGGAAATCAAGTGAGAAGTCAATTGGTTGGGAATATCAATCAGTTTTGTTAAAATCCACTTGACGTGTTAATTTATAAGTTTCGAAATACTTAAGCGGTTCTTATCCAGTTTAAATATAAGCAGCATAAGTAATAATTACTCTATTATTATTCATATTTATCGGGACGAGTTATCGTGAAAAATGATGAGGGGTTTGATCTTTAGCGAACCCTGTCCCAAATACATTGAGCGACCGGTCGTTCGACTTTCTCGCGAAAAATGTCGTCAATTGAAGATGATAATGATGATTATCATTATCATTATGATGATTGTAGTCCCGGAGAAAGATGAAAATTAAGAAGAGATTAAGAATATACTATAAACCTCAAAAATAAAAGGAAGTTCGTCGTACGCGATTATATAAATATAAATATATTCATTTTTGGTTATAAATTAGTAGTACTTTTGCCTCAAGCCCGCTGCCCAATTAATTTTTTTTATTACTAGCTTTCAAATTTATATCGAGGGATTATGGTAAAAAGTGCGACTTCTAAAATCAATGATTTCACTTTGTATTTTATTTAAAAATAAAAAATCATTGTTTAGAAATTAAAAGCGTCTTTATAGTAGCACTGAATTTAGCAAATATGTTACATTTTTTTTTTGCAAATAATTTATTTCACTAAAAAAAGTTTACCTAAAACAAGAATATTTTCTTGAGTCAAAAAATTTTTTTTATCTTTGCAAAGATAGTAAGGATTTGTTTATAGTTAAAAATATTTATTAATATTTAACAAATCATTTATTAGAGACCTTTTTTTAGTCCTTAATAAATATTTTTTAGTATTTAAAAAGATTTATTAATAAAAATTTAATTAATTTAATTAATTAATTAAAAATTAATTCATAAAAATTTGTTCTTATATTTTTTTCAAATTTCTACAAGCGCAAATTTTTTACAGTAAACTTTATTTTTTTTAAATAATCAAAAAATAGTCAGCTATTAACTAACTTCAATATCAACTCATATCATCTCAGTTTTTTTTATTAATTCCTTAATAAAAATCAATGGTATATTTATTCTTGAAACTGTAAAATATTTAAATTTAAATTCAATAAATTACTGTAGTAATTGAAAAAAATAAAATTTATTCAAATGATTATAAATTAGTATTGATAAAAATTGAGGTCTTGAGAATATTTTTTATATTAAAAACAACTATTCAAATATTTTTATATAAAAAATTTATAATTCTAACGAAAAAAAATTAACATAAATGTTTGATATTATTAATGATACTTTCTTCTTCATAAAAAATTCAAATCAATCTTAAACATTTAATGATCTAAAAATTTTTATCTTAGTCTTTGATTTATTCGCTAAGTATAAATAAAAAGACGTCGAATTTTTTTACAGCTAATAACATTATTACTGTAATAAAAAAAAAAAATTTTTCCCCATTCTGACACTTTAATCCTGAATCATAAATTAATGTCATTGACTTGTGCTGCAATAAGACAATAATTTAGTTGTTGATCTGAGTATTTTATTAGCAAGCTTGTAAAATAAATGATTGAGAAAACTTATATGATGGAATGCTCATCTTGAAGCATCTCGCTGCGTTCTATACGGTCAGGATGGGATAGGAAAGAATAGGCTAGAAAGTTACGTAATGTTCGTGCGTCGACCGGTGAAACAAACCGTGTTGAGAAAGCATAACACTGTATATTGTATCCTGAGTACCGACACAAGAAGATATGATCATGCCAGGTGGCTTTTCATGCGGCAACCGATCGTTTTCCTCGTAAAAGTACAAACTCAGCTCGTAATTTTTGAGCTAGACTGCGGCATATCTTCGCAAGTTTTCAGTCTAGACGCTTCGGGAAAATAACAGTAATAAAATAAAATAAAATTATAAATATATATCTGTTGTTATTCTATAAAAAAATTAAAACAAAGGTTTATTATTGGTAATTTAAAATATATCGATGGCGCCATGGGATCGCTTGTAAGAAAAACAGACGTTACATTACATTGTTGAAAAGTTGTTCAATAAATGTTGTACATTTATGAGAAAATGAGGAAATGAGTGGTATTGCGTGGAGAGACTTGAACTGTGTACGATAATGTTGATGTTTATGCTTATATTGTTGCTAAATTGATGTTATTGCAGGTTCGAGATGATGAAGACCGCTGATGGATCGATAAGTGGCTCATTGAAGGTCATCGAGTCCTTAAAGAACAAGAAGAAGAGCAAGAAGAACAAGGGCCAGCAGGACGGTGCCGAGTGGACTTGGAAAGAGCAAGTTGATCTTGTTAAATTTTCACCGGTCCCTATCGAGCAGAGTCTCCTTAGATTGGACACAGAGCTTAGTTCACTTGCCGTCGAGTGTTTCTTGTGTCTTATGAGGTACATGGGTGATCAACCATTACCCCCGGACATGAGTGAAGTCAAATGTGTATATACGATACTCATGGTGAGTGAAACCTTTACTTAAACTTTCTACTGTACTTATAAGAATAAATAATTTTATGTTTTTATTGTTCCTGTTATTAACTTTATAATAAATCAACTCAGTTATTAATCATTCTTAGTAGTCAAGCTTGTGTCGGCAGAATTGTAATTATATGCTTAGATTGTCCTTTCTGCAAATATGGAATAGAAGACTTTATTGTAATTTTATGCAATTATTTATGGGAGAAAATTTATTTTACAGAGAATTTTGTTGCGACAAATATTAAATATTGTAATATTTATTGAATTAAATGTTTTTTCAAATTTAATGCAGTTTGGAAAAAATAAGTTTAGTTTATTAACAATTATGCCAAAGCTAATGCCGAATGGCAAAGAGAAAATATACAAAGAATTTTTTACATTATTGGGCAATTAAAGTACGTACAATTAGAGTATTTAACATAAGAATATTTAAGATAGAAAATAGTGAATTGATAAAGATTATGAGTGAATATAAAAATTGAATTTATAAAAAACTAGCTGTTACCCGCCCGCTTCGCTGGGCATTTTATAGAATTGTATTTTTAGATCTAAACTTGAAATTTAATTTGAGTATTGTTTTGACTTTCACAGATTTCAAATTCAATCGAATTCGTCTGTACCTTTTATTCATATGATTATTTTAACTTATATTCATTGTAACTTTCAATGTGCGAACACTACAACATTCCCGCGGGTTTCTTCCAAAAAATGAATAATAATTAAGACGAAGAAAAAATTTAAAACGTGCATGAAAGTTTTTGTCAAAGTAATTGCAGGTCTTATTAGTAAAGTTGAAATCTGCCTAGCTTAAAGTGCAAAGAATTATGCTGTTAATCAAAATTTCCTCCCTCACATCAATTTTTCATAGAAAATTAATTGTATACATTTTACGAATTCTATTAAAATAAGTAGCCAAATTTATTTTCCACAGCTCAAGTGTTTAGAAAATGCATTTATTTTAATCTGTTGGATTTCGGCGATCCCGTAATAAGAACAATTTATCGGTTGTGTGATCAGCAAAAATAAAATGTATGTAAAATTTTTAATCCGTTGAGTAAATAGCTACATGTAAAGTTAATTTTTGGAAACCTTGCAATGACTTTTTCTCCGCTGCCAAAGAGACGATTGTTGTAATAAAATAAAATTATTGAGAAAGAAAAATATTTAAATCGATTGACCTTGGAGGCCATCCCTGTAATTTCCTGTTTCTCTTGAGATTCTATCAAATTTTATATCTGTAGGAACAATATTAATAGTAAGAATATGAATTTTTTGACAATCATCACTCTTGCACTCCTATGTGGGGGAAGAATTTCGTAAGATTCTATTTGAGATGATTTGTTCATTATAAACAAAAGATTCCAACAAAAGTTCGAGTCCATAGGAACTGTTGTTTGGAAATGAGAGATTTTCATCGTTTGCGCGCCTCCAATCTCTTTTATAGTTAGAATTCGAGAAAATCCATTCTTAGCCAAATTTGACATCATACACGAAGATTTCTACTAAATTTGGAGTCTGTAGAAGTTACGGTTTGAGAAAAGAAATTTAATATTTTAACACCCACCCCCGCAATCCCCATCGGTAGTAGAATTTTTTGAAATCCATTTTTAGATGGTCTCTACATGAGAAATAAAAGATTCCTACGAAATTTTGAGTATTCAGAAGCTATATTTTGGAAATTAAGATTATTTATTGTTAACACTCACCCCCGCGATCCTTATTGGGAGTGGTTAATTGTAAAATCCGCTCTTAGATCATTTCTATATCACATATAGAAGACTCCTACTAACTTTGGAGTCTATAAGCGCTATAGCTTGGAATTAATAATTTTTATTGTTAAAACCCACCCCCGCAAGCCCCTGTGAGGTGAGCTATCCTAAAATTCGTTCATATATTATTTCTACAGCTCTTACAACTCTTAAAAACGGGAATTTTTCATTGTTAACGCCCCCCACAAACCTCTTTGGGGAAGGAATTTCTTAAAATTCGTTCTTAGCTGACCTCTACATGGCAAAAGTAATATTCCTACCAAATTTCAAGTTTCTATATTCCCAAGATATCGTGATGAGTGACTATATCTATAGAAAATCTCACATATACATATATAGAAAATTATTTTCATTTTCACTGTTATTTATATTAAATATAACCAAAGAAAGACAAAAATTTGACAGATTCTTAACGCCCCCAAAATCTCCTCTTGGGCTAAAATTTTACGAAATCTGATAGTAGGCGATCTTAATTTAACAAATATGAAATTATTATTAAATTTTATGTCTGTGAGCGTTTTAGTTTAAAATTTTCATTTTTTTTCATTAGCGTCCCCGTAACCGATTTTGAGACTTAAACTTTATTTAATACATTCTTGTTTGCTCTCAACATCACCCAAAAAAATTCTCTCCAAATTTCATGTCTAGAAGAGTTAAAATTCAAAATTTAGTTTTTTATGATTTTTTCTAATCATTAACGCCCCCGCTATACACTTCGGAGATTCAACACCGATAAAAAAGTTAGCCTATCCATTAAGTCATTGTATCCTCTACATGGATGCGAAATTTCAATTCAATTGGATGTATAGTTCCATAGTTTTAACGGAACAACCATAAAAAACTCTATAGATTTATATATTAGTATAGATATAGATATAGATTAACTAACTAATTTAAGTGCCTATGAATTGACGTTAATTTAAGTTTACTAGAAATTTGAAGACTAACAATAAAAATATGAGAATTAACTAATAGTTTAGGATTAATTAAAAAAATAATCAAACATCTTGTTTTTGAAAACCTCCAATAAGTGGTGAAATTTGCTCAAGTATTTTTAAGTTTTCTCATAAATTTATTGGGTAAAATGCTTATTATTAATGATTTGTTTGAAATTTTTCTTCATGCAACCGTTGAATATTAGTAATCGAATAATAAATTATATACATAATTATTTAAATCACAGCAGTAATAATTAAAATAGCTGTTTATTAGTAATCAAGTATTATTTAATGTAAATTATTATTTTCCGGGTATAATTAACTTCTATTTCTGCTTGGATAACACTTTTTGTTATGACACGAAAAATTAAATGACACTTTTTTTATGTTTTCTTAAACTGACGTTCGTAAATAAATCTGTGTTCTTTATCTTTTTTTGGGTATAATTAATTAACTACACTTACAATTGAGATTAATTTTTTATAATTTATAGAGAACACTCTATAGGAGAAATTTTGAATTGATCCGCGTCCCGGAATGCCTCATTATTTTCTTTGTTACCTGAAAAAATTCACATTAAAAATTAAAAGTTATTAAATCAGACGAATACACACAATTACTCAGGTGTAATCACCGGAATTAATATTTGAAAACGGATCTTGATAAATAAAAATTATTTCCAAAATATTATTTCCGATTTTTAACAAGCTGTATTTCGTATGGAATGATCTATATGTATTGTTTACTTATATAAATATGCATTATTGAATAAAGTAATTTCAAAAGCATGTGAATGATTACTTAAGCAAATATTGCACATTCTAATGGTTATTATATTGATACAATACTGTATAAATATTAAGACTCTGTGCATAAAATTTTTTTAAATTTCACTCTTAATTTTTAATCAAAATTAATTTAGCAGATATTTAATAATTTTTTAGAATTAATTTAATTGTTAAATAAAATTAAAAATTTGTCAAGTGACAGCTAACTTTAATGTCACCAATTTTTATTAAATAAATTTCTGAAAGATGAATAAAATCTTAAAAAATTGAAATTAAATTTTTTTGCTCGACTAATAATTAATTCTGATGATTAATCTTAACAATTTAAAGTAATTTATTTAATTTTTTTATTTGACATACTTAACAAAGTAATTATATTGAAATAATTTACAGTTATGCTGCCAACATTTGAATAAATATCTGATTTTTGTATCATCAATCAAATACTAGAAAAATGATGGAAAAAATATTAATTTTTAATTACAATTAATTTGAAAAATTTTTAAAAACTTTTAAAAGGAGTAATGCTTATTTATGATTAATTTTTTTTTTTTTGTTTTAGCATTGCCACAAATTTGAACCATTACGAGACGAAGTGTTCTGCCAGCTAATGAAACAAACGACGAACAACAAAAGCCCAAACCCAGATAGCTGTCAACGCGGCTGGCGATTATTCAGCATTGTCGCTGCTTACTTCACCTGCAGCGAAGGACTAAGACCTTACTTGATAAAATACCTAGAAACTGCGGCGTACGATAAAAGACGGGCGTATCACGGAACCGCGACAGTCTGCCTTCAGAATTTGCGAAAAACCGTAAAGTACGGCGGGCGAAAAAACGTGCCCAGCGTGGAAGAAATAATGGCCATCAGCGCGGGAAGAAACGCGAAGAGACAAATATACAGACTGCCTGGTGGTACCGAGAGAGTCATTAACACCAAGTGTACCACTGTTGTTCAAGTAAGTCAATGCCACTTTTTTATTATTAATAATAAAAACTTATAACAATACTTTGCTTCAACAATAATCTGTCTCATATTAAGGATGTCATTGAGGAAATGTGCAGCGTCATATCCGTGAGAAATCCACACGAAATGGATGAATTCTCGCTATATTGTATCGTCGACGGTGATGCTTTCACGATGCCTTTGGCGCGAGATGAATATGTCCTTGATGTTACCACCGAATTGCAAAAGAATCATCAAGTATTTTATTTGATATTCTGCAGGTAATTAGTTCATGATAAATACATTCATCATTTTCTGAATGACTCATGATGCATAGCATCAGAGAGTGCTTTACGATCGAAAAATTTGTTTTCTTTAATCTATTATTATGTGCAATTAATATTTTTTATACGCTCTTCTGGTTTTGCAGAACCAGAGGAGCGTATAGAAAATTTTTTTTTTTTTGCCAATCAACTAGGGAAAAAATAATCAAAGTAGCGTCTAAGAACCTCCTAACGTCGAGATCTAATGAAAAAATTATTTTTTATAATTGAACTGAAAATACTACCACAGCCAAAACTTTTTAAAATTGTCAATTTATGTTAGGAGAAATTAAAAGTTTTATTGTATTTTTTTTCAGTAAATTTTTACTAAATACAAAAAATTTAAAATTTAAAGAAAATTGGGATATGTTAGTGTTTTCAGTCTCACTTATATAGCCAAAAAGGTCTATCAAGCTAGCATGGACTCGTCCATCATGCATTGACTTATTATTCAAGCAACAAAATTTATTTGTAGTGCTAAATTTTTACTTATTAGTCGGTCCATTTAGAACATTGTTGCTTGTTTAGATTCCGAGAAATCAATAACAATATCCCTCCAAGATAGGTTTTGCCGCTGCTAGCTTGACGACGCTCTTCCAAAAATCAATTTTTCATTACATCCCGACGTTTTAAGGTTTTTTGAAGCTACTTTGACTATTTTTTCATATATGCTCTTTTGCCAAAGCCAAAGCTTTGGAAATTTTTTTTGTTAAAATCGAAAGGGCGTATGTCAAAAAAAATTTTTTTTGCCTTTTTCAACAAGATTTTTACTTTTAATACATTCTCTAGTTGATTGGAAAAAAAAAATTTTTTTTATATCCCCTTTTGGTTCTGCAAGTCTAAAAGGGCGTATATTTTGAGGTACGCTTTTTTGATTTTAATAACGCGAATTATATTAATAATAATTTTTTTTTTTTTATTAAATAGATCGGTGTGGTATTACCCTTTGAGACTGGACGCAGCTTTGTACATAGAGGTTGTTTTTAATCAAATTGCACCAGATTATTTGGAAGGACTTTTGCTAGTTATTCCTGAAGATCATTTACCCCAAGAAGTTATTGTAAGTTTTATTCAAAAAATACAATGATAAAAGAATTTATTAACTATTAATATAAATTCATTTATTTGAAAACAATTTATTTATTTATTAAATACAAACACTCGTTTATTAATCATTTATTGATAGTTTTTTGAAAAAAAAAAAAAAGTGAATTAATTAACAAATTGTTATTAATTAATAATTTTCACCGGAAAAAAAATTTTTAATTTAATACAACCATTCTTTTATTATTAATTTTTTTCTTCTACTTTTTTTTTAAAGAAAACTATTAATCTACCCAATTTAATGGAATTTTATTCTCTATTGAAGTTGTAAGATTATAAAAAGAATCAAAAAAAAATTTTTTATTCAAGGATCCAAACAAATATTTATTAACAGTTAAAGAATTGCGCCGGATTAATCTTTCTTCAACTATTAATAACTCTTATTCAATCAATGATTTATCAACAGTTAATGAATATTTATTAAATCATCTGATGTTAAGAAAATCATTGATTAACAATTGATGCTAAAATTAACATACATCTCATAATTTATAAAATTTTTTAAACAGATAAATAATTATAAAAAAAAACTTGGAAAAAAAATTCCACAAGTATAAATTACAAAAACTATGAACGCAATTTTTTTTTAATATTTTTAAAGATGTCTGTTGATTTTAGTATCATAAAAAAATTTTTTATATTGATCATGATTGATGCTGTATGATTTATTAAAATAAAAAACTTAATTATTTGTATTTACAGTACGATATGGCTCAAATAGCTGCTTTATTGCACCGAGCAGCGGATATGGCCCACGATCCATCAACTAAAGAAATAAAATACTTATTACCAAAACCCGCGCTCAGCTTACGAGAGCCTAAACCTCAGCAATGGGGTAGTATGGTCCAGCAAGCGTGGAATAATATTCAACACAATACTCCTGCTGTTTGTAAAGCCCAAGTTCTAGGTAATTAACTTAAAATTAATTTTTCATTCATATACATGAAGTATATGTTCTTAATAAATGGGTTATCGCTTCGCTGAACGAGGTCTTGGATAAATTTTTTTTTAGTTACTTTTCATACTAACAGTTTTATACAAATATGTTAGATGCATTTTTATAAATAATATATTTAATTACAGAAATTCTGTCGAAATGGCCGCTATTTGGATCGAGTTTCTTCGCTGTAAAAAGAATACCAGAAAACGGCAAAGAGAAAGGAGGAGATCACATTCTAGCCCTGAATAGACACGGTGTTCACTTTATCGATTTAATGACACACGTATGTTACTATTAGCATTTTTATTACAAATCCATCTACATATTACATATAATTTCTAGCCAACATTTAAATAATAACGGCAACACCAATTTATTATTACTTAATTGCAGGTAACGTTGTATCATTATCCTTTCTCGGAAGTAATATCGACGCGTAAAGTTAAATCCGAAGAAGGAGCTCTTTACCTGGACATGAAATGCGGTAATTTGATGCAGCAAAGAATAACAAGATTGCAAACAGAACAAGCGCATGAAATTTCACGCCTAATCCGACAGTACATTACAATGGAACAGCGGACAACGAATAATCAAACAACCGGTCTCTCTTACGGCTGGAAATGATTTTATTCATTCATAAAATTATTAATATCACTAAAATTTATTTCGTTAATAATATTAATTTTTTTTAAGATGGCAAGCGTAAAAAAACAATTAATAATTGCGACCTTTAAATTCAAAATGCTCAATTATATCGGTGTGTAAATAATAAATAAGTAATTATATTTTATTTGATAAAGTGGCGATAAATAAGAGCTAATGCTGCATTTAATAGTAAGTATGTTTAGTTATGTTATGGTGTAATAGCTCAATACAACTTTTAAGTGACTAATAATAATTAAATTAGTTATTATCGATATTATTATTTGCCCAATTTTTGTCTTTTATTTTGGGCATAAATAAATTGATAATTTAAATATGATATTAAATGTTGAACATTGATCAATTAAATTTAATTCAATTGATTAAGTGTTTTATTTACGCTAAGTCCATCGATAAGTCATAAATAAATAATTGTTGTTATTATTAAAGATATAATATTATTGTTTAAATTACTCGAGATTTATTGTTTAATTTTCTTTTTAATCACTCAAGTCGGTTTTAAAAACGTTTATTTATTAAGTGTATAATAATAATAATAAATAATAATTATAATTATAATATAGTAATAAAAAAAGTTACACCCAATAATATCATTAACGCTGAAACTAACATGATATAAAAGTAAAAAGGTATTAATGTTGACTAACAAATTAATGTTTTGTTATGAACACATTTATAATAAAAAGACTTCAATTTTTGTACTTAAAAAAATTATATATATATATATATATATTATGTATATTTTAAAAATTTAAAAGTTTATTGTTTATTTAATTTCTTCTCTTACTGTACAGAAGGTTAGCTTCATTTAATATTTAAGGTAGTTGTCGTGGTTAAGGCATACCGTCAGAAAATTCGAAATTTTTGTATACTTATTAAGGACATGATGGTTCAATTACCCTAAAAATTTGAAGTCGATTGACTACCTATAACCCGAGATGAATTCAATTAAAAATTGGATATTTAACATTGATTGCATACACAGAAAAAAGGTTCATGCAAGCTAAGAAAATATTTTTCTTCCTAATTATTTTCTAGAGCAAAAAAAAATTTTTTTTTGACACAAGAAATTTCACTTATTCCAACAAAATTAATTCTCTTGCTTTAAAAAATATGTATCTTTATCCAAAAAAATTTTCTCTCTTGCTCCAAAAAATTAAATATCTCGATAGAAGTAAATTTTCATTAATGTTTTTATTGATTAACATGTCAAATGGGAAGATCAAATAATATTGAATCATTTTTTTTTTTTTTTCATTCAGTATGTATAATATTGCACGCTAAAATAAAAAATGGGTATCAAATATTCAAGAGAAAAATCTTCCTAATTGTTTTCTTGAGCGAAAAAAAATTTTTTTTTGACACAAGAAAATTTCACTTATTCCAACAAAATTAATTCTCTTGCTTTAAAAAATATGTATCTTTATCCAAAAAAATTTTCTCTCTTGCTCCAAAAAATTAAATATCTCGATAGAAGTAAATTTTCATTAATGTTTTTATTGATTAACATGTCAAATGGGAAGATCAAATAATATTGAATCATTTTTTTTTTTTTTTCATTCAGTATGTATAATATTGCACGCTAAAATAAAAAATGGGTATCAAATATTCAAGAGAAAAATTTTTTCAAGGTGAAAAAATTTTTCAAATAAAAAAATTTATTGTATCAAGTATTTATGATAATTTAAATTAAGAAAAAATTACTTCCACCAAGAATAGAATTTAAAGAAAAATTTTTACTTCGGCCAACACAACTTCGGTCTTCCTTCAGGCATCCGAAAATTTTGTTAAGCCAAGAATTTTGTTCTCCAGTCAAAAAATTTTTCTTTCTGTGTACGCTCTCTGCAGTTCTGTACTAGTTCCTTAGTTATAAAAAAAAGAACTAAGTGACAGAAATCTTTAAAAAACTGACAGTCTTTTAATGTATTTATTGTGAGTTTAAAAAAAAATTTTCGACCATCTAATTATTTATAAATAACGGATTAAAGTTCAACAATTTATGAAAAAATATATATCTACGGAGTCGGAAAGAAACAATTGTATAGGTTGCGTCTCCATGGGTACAGTCTTGCGTAAAAATGATGGATTACTTAGCTACAAGCTCATATACTTTGGCGGCGCGTATAATCTCTAATTTTTTGACAATATTGTACCATGACAACTACCTTAAAAACAAAATTTGTTATTGTAAAGAAATAGAATAATTTTTTTAATTCAAGTTAACCTTCAGGGCAGATCATATTTATATTTATATTTTTATTTATGTTAATTTATATAATAAAAAGTAGTTAATTAATGATGGACCTCGCGATTGGGGCTTGAACCAGGAGTCTTGAATTTAATCTCGCGAGGCCAGTTGCTGGCAGTGTGTCTGACGTATCCTGGGTCGTTGGGAGACGATGGTAGTGTCGAAGGAATCGTTGTCTGGGTCCCGGTAGTTGACTTTCTGAGCACTCCAACCCACTCGTCCAGCATTTCTATTCCATCTTTGGACCGGTCGCTGCGGTAGCTTCTGCCAGATGAGACCAGATAATTGTCTCGCCCGCGCTTCATTATTCCTGGTGCTAATCTCGTTGATATGGTGTCAAAGTGACTCGAGTCCAAGTATCTGCTAGTGAAAAAATCATATTAATTTTTAACCAGCCGAACTGTGTAAGTATTTCGCATAATATTGTGCACTGAAAAAAAAAATTTCGTTTGAAAAAAATCAGCAATGTTGTAATAAGAAATCAATTTGTTAAAAATTGTCAACACAATTTTAGGTCTTAGCTGAAGAAATAAAAATTTTTTTCACAGTAACTTTCTTGTTGAAAAAAAATTTTTTAGATTTGGAAAAAAAAAACAATTTTAGATAGACAACTTGCGAATTTTCATTCGAAATCATTTTTTTCCCAAATCAAAAAAACATTTTTTCAACAAGAAAATTACTGTGAAAAAAATTTTAATGCTTTCAGTTAAGAAATAAAATTTTTAACAAATTTATTTTTTGTCACAATGCCTATTTAAATTAAAAAAAAATTTCTCTCAATGTGATCAAATAACAAATCGATACTGCCATTCTAATACATCTTATCCCACAAAATTTGACATATTGACTTTTCTTGAAAAAAAAAAATATAAAATTATTATGTAAGTTTAAAAATTTAAAGGTCAAATAGTTTAATAACTATTTTTAAATAAATATTTTCATCCGTTGAATCCCATTTAATAAATATTAAAAATGAACTGTTTTTACCGTTTGCTGTAAAATTTTCTAAATGTGGGATACGACGTATTAGAATGGTCGAAATATTTATCTGGTAATGTAGAAATAAGACTGATATTTATTACTACTGATGAAAAAAAATATCTTTCATTCATAAATATTTGCATCAATTCATTTTATTACAATATTGTGAAAAATATTATGTTTATTTTAGTATGAACTTAGTGGATAAGATTTTTGACACTCGTGCGTTGGCGCACTCGCTTTGCTCGTTGCGCAAACACATTCGCAGCCGAAACTCCTATCCACTCAGTTACACTGTTAAATGCAGTGTCACTAGGTAGCGTTATATTTTTTTTATAAAAAAAAATTTTCTTATTAACAAAGAAACTTTTTGAATATTTTTCTTCAAAAGCGGGAAACATAAGCCTTAACATAGTACTTAAATTTTTTAATTTGGTAAAAAATTAAAATAGATCTAGCCATAAGACAAAAAACGTGATTGACAAATAACATATATAATTTTTATACATAAAAAATCTTACCTTCCATGACTCTCAAAATTATCGTGATCATCGCGATTGACCCTGTTGGTCTTCACACTTGAGTTAACAATTTTAGGAAACCTGGCCTCGCTTAAATTGTCTCTGATGGAAGAAAACCTCGGCGTGTCGACCTCGTCAGAAGACCGAATATTCATTTCATGGGTATGGTGATAAAAAGCCCTTCCGTTGTCCCTCTCGTCCCTCAATCTATCTCTCATCGTCGTCTCAGCGTCTCTGTACCCGTTGACAGTGGACTCTCTAAATTGATTACGAAGGTTCGAGTACTCTTTGGTAAATTGATCGTCGTCGATAAATTTAATGTCATCATCACCGTAGTCCCTGTTCGGCTCAGCCAAAATTCCAACGTCGGTAACTCGAGGTCGCTGGGCTGTAACGAGGACTTGATGCTCCCGTGAGCCTGCTGGAGATTCTTCCTGCTGATGATGATGAACCTGATGATTCTGCTGTTGACTATTGTCCTTATTAGTATCCTTAGTATCATTGACACTATCATTTCTATCAGAATCTAAAGTCTTATTGTGTCCGCTAGCCTTTGGAGCTTTCGACTCCTTCTCAATCGTCAAAGTCGTCGGCGGTTGCACTAAATTGCGATAACATTCATGCTCATTTATTAACTACTTTAATTATAATTTATAATTATAATTATTATTTATAACTTTTTATCGATTGTTAGCTCATATTTATTACTACCACTAATTACTATTTTAATTTTAATATTTTTATAATTATTAAATTAGATAGCAAATTATTATTATTATTTATTGTTAAGCAGCCGTTTCAATTCGAATTTGTGAATTAGTCAAATCGGCACGTGACTTGCCTGCATTTTTATTGACAAATATATGCGTCGCGTCATGTTTAATGTCTTGTTCGGGTGTAGTCATCAAAATATCTGCTATAAAAACCAATCCGGTGATGAGACACAAAGCGCCGAGCACCGCTGCGTTGTCTATTAAATCATTAGGAACATTTTCTATTGACGCTAATGACAGTGCGCCGATTATTCCGAACAGAATCACTCCAAGTCCAAGTAAGAATAATTCCTAGAAAAAATAAGATAAATTAGTTAAGTGCTTATTCAATTAAAATTTTAGTTTTCTTTTTTATTCCTCGTAGTTATCAAAATTTAAAAAAAATGACAGAAAATTTGCTTCAATATTTTTTCAGGATTTTTTTTTAAATTTAGTTTTTAGTAAAAACAAAATTTTTACGAAATTTCAAACAGAATTTTAATAAATTATATTTTTACAAATAAATTACTAAAAACTTTTATTTAATTTTTATAATAACTATATAATTTATATTGAAAATAAATCTTGAGAAAAAAAAATTGTTCGCTATATACAAAAAATCATTTATCAAGAAAATTTTTCTCAATTTACAAGAAATCTATAAATAATTTTATTATTGAATTTATGGTAGTTTAATCAATCAATTCATTTCTTCACAAATAATTATTTGTATCACACAATTTATGTTTACTAAAAATTAATTGCATATCGACGGCCTAATTAGCAATTGGTCTAACTCCTTATTTTTTAGAGGGTGATTTTTTAACATTTTGATGTAGCAATGGTCCAATAATAAATTATTTGAACGATCCAAGCCAAAGTATTATATCTCTATTAGATATAAAATTGTTTTTTAAATTGACAATAAATTTTTAACTAATGGTTTCTTCGTACAAATGGAAGATTCTTTAAAATAAAGTTAGATAATTTGCTAATTAGAACGTCGATATGCTTGTTAAGGTAGTTGTCGTGGTTAAGGCATACCGTCAGAAAATTCTAAATTTTTATATACTTATTAAGGGCATAATGATACAATTATCCTAAAAATTTGAAGTCGATTGACTACCTATAACCCGAGATGAATTCAATTAAAAATTGGATATTTAACATTGATTGCATACGCTCTCGGCAGTTCTGTACCAGTTTCTTAGTTATAAAAAAAAACTAACCGTCAGAAACTTTCAAAAAACTGACAGTGTTTTAATGTATTTGTTGTGAGTTTAAAAAAAAAATTAAAAAAATTTTTGACCGTCTAATTATTTATAAATAATGGATTAAAGTTCAACAATTTATGAAAAAGTATATATCTACGGAGTCGGACAGAAACAATTATATGGGTTGCGTCTCCACAGATAAAGTCTTGCGTAAAAATTATGGATTACTTAGCTACAAACTTATATATTTTTGCGGCGCGTATAATCTCTAATTTTTTGACAATATTGTACCATACCAACTACCTTAAAAATAGCATTGACAATTCAAAAAAAATCACAGCTTTTTTCCATTTTGAATATAAAAATTATATACAATAATAAATAAACAAACAATATTAATAATAATAATAATAATAATAATAATAATAATAATAATAAATAAATAATATTATTCAGTGGAAACTCAAGTAACTAGTCAAAAAATTAAAATTCCAATTACAACACCTACTATATTGAGTTTAATTTGATTTAAAAAGAGTTTATTCTACTAAGGATTCACTAAAGACCTCAAGATAAATCATCAATAAATTATGCAACAAATAAGAAATTACAGAAAAGTCATTAGACAGGAAACAAGTACTTATGAATGAAAAATAACTTTTGAAAGCTGCAATTAAGATAAATCATTTTTTGTAATTACTTATAAGTAATTACGTTTTGAGCCATTAAGTCTCTGAAGATCAGTTAGCTTCATTAAATAGCATGCCTATCCTAAGCAATAAAAACTCTTAAGATTAAGAAAACATTTGTAGCTTAGTAATTATATCCATTGTGATATATTTTGAATAATTAGTGCAAGCCTTGTAATCGACATTAAATATATGAATTATAATATACCGTTCGGATGATCAAGCGAGTTCGATATAGTTAAATATTTTCCCACGTTCATCGTGTTAATAAAAAGCCTGACCGCGATTCCTCGATCTCTTCAGGATCAAGGATTGGGCGAGGATTTAATATGTATAGATATATTATATATGATACAAGTATTACGGTTACCAGCGATCTAGTTATATGACTCATTACTTATTACTAAGGAAAAATGTAAAATAACACATTACGTGTCTTTCTATTATGATTATGCGTTTCTGCACCAGCGCCTATAAGTATATAAATAAAAATATAAATATATAAACATATATGAAGTAAAGTAATATTGTTCCTTTAGATTTAAATAATTAACTATCTAGCCTTGTCTTTCAATGTCAACTATATGAGACATTGTTTATTTATTTATTTATTTATTATTTTTTTTACGTATTTCAACATTCCCATGATTTTTAAGTAAACCTATTTTATTCGTTGTGCAATGCAACTAGCTGGTCTCCACCAATTTTCAGAGCTGACTTTGTTTATTTGCGACAACTTTTTAAATTATTGCATTCAAGAGTTTTTTAAAAATTTAAGCTTTCAGTAAATCTTAAAATATAATTTAAAAAAAATTATTCTTTTAAAATTCATGGCAAATTTTTTTATTTTTTAAATCTTTTAACTTAAAACTTCAAATAAAAAACTAAAATTAAAAAATTTTTTGAAATTTTCGAGAAAAAATTATTTATCGAACTATTGAAGCAAATTTTCAGATTTTTTTTACGATTACTAAAAAAAAAATAAAAATAAAAAAAACATTTTTTTATAAATTGTAAAAAAAAAATTGTTTGTTATTAGTCAAGAATTTCAATTTTTATATAAATAAGTTAAAACATAAGTTTAAAAATAGAAAATTTGTTAATAAATTTTTGCCTCTAATTGGTCCAAATTTTTTTTCAAGTTTGAGTTTAAATTAAAAAATTTTCGCTTCTAAAAACCTTCTTAAAAAATTTCTAAAAACAAAACAATAAACTTTAAAAAACGCTGAAATTGTCTACAACTTAAATATCATTTGTATTTAAAACATTATAATTAAAAAAAAAGGATAACGATCCTTACTGTTTTTCTACCGCGTAATTCGCCAGTCGCAACAGCAAGCAGAAGACCTGCAGTGATTATCACGTAACCGCCACACGTTGCTGTCGCGAGAGCTGCACCTGTTACAGAAAAATAGGTCGAGGATTTAACTAAATAAATAAGCGACAAAAAAAAAGAAAAAGTGTTAAAAGAAATGAAACAAATTCAAATTTGTTTTATCTTTTCTTCTGTCAAGACTTTTTCTTTTTTTTCAATTTAAAATAACTTTTTACCTATAGTTCCCCAAGTCACATTGTTCAGAAGAGCCCACTCTCTACTACGATATCTGAGAAAATTAAAAACTCTTCTGCTCTCGTCATCAGTCACACGGAGTGCCACCGTGCATGCAATGCATAGAAGCTGAAAAATAGATAAATATAAATGTTAATGTATAAAGAGAAACTATCAAGAATATGAATAATACCATGATGAATAATGAAAAGTTTTTTCTGTTTTCAATGAATATAAATCTCAAAGATAAATTGCTTTGAACTTAGTCATTTTATTTGAATTAAAATTTCTGCATAGCATAAATTTTATATCTTAAATAAATAAAAAAAAAAAAAATAAATAATACTGATGCATTACTATCAAGAGTGTAAAGATCTATACAATGCTATACAAACTAGAATTAAATTTAAGTCGACATCTCTCCCTAAAATTAAAAAAAGAATGTTGCAATAAAATATTTTAACCTTTTACCTAATAATCTTAAGATATTAAATTATAGTAAAAAAACGCTAAACTATAAGATAAAAAATCTGTCATTGTAATAGTACAAGAAATTTGTGCAATATTAATATTTTCTCAAACTATTTACGCATTTTGTATTTTTTATATATATTTTTAAATATTTTGTATAATGTAGAATAATTTATGTAATATCTAGCTCTATGTACAGATGCTCTTGTATCTCTATAGACCTGTATGCTAAAAAATAAATAAAAATAAAAAAAAAACTCACCACTTCAATGATTTTGATAAAAACTTTTTTATTCCACATAATACCAGGATAGACTTCTCTGTGCTTAAAAAAATTTTTTCTGCTCAATTCACTTGATTTAGTAGCATTTGATTTAAATTTTTTCCACCACGAACTTTTGTCTATAATTACATATTAAAATTTAATTAAAAAATTAGTAATAGTAACATCACAAAATATTTATTTTTATTTTTAATAATTCTTATACTATTATAAATATTGGAATAATTTCTGGCACAAATAAATGTGGACGACAGGTAGATTTATCGTTGACGAGAAAAGCGATAGATCACAAACAGCGACGAGCACTGACTGAAAGAGATAGTTAGGTTTATGCTCAGGCTGATGCAGGTGGGCCGATGTAGATGTAATGTCACGTAATGAGACTTGCGTATACCTACTACTGGAAAAAAAAAAAAAAAAAAAAAAACAATGTAATGTAATAATGTTATTATCGTAGAACGCAGCCGCGTGGGATAATTGAGTTTTTCATGGGTCACCATAGCAAAAAATATTATCGTATTATTTTATATTTATATGTATGTATTACAACTTACCAATTATTTGTTATCTTTTTTTTTTAAGCATAACATACATTTTTTTTTACTCTATTAGTTATTTAAAATAAAAAGTATTTATGAATTTGCAATAAAAATTATTTAAATTGAAATAATTTATCTATTTCTAATTTCACAAAAATTTTTAATTTTATTATTTAAAATTAGTAATTAACTATGTTTTAATTTAAAAAAAAAAATAGAATTTTACAATTTTTTAATTATTGATTTTTAAAAAATTAAAAAACGTAATTATAAAAGTGTAATTATTTTTGAAAAAATTTTCAGAACCTCGGTAAAAATTTTTCGCCTGATGAACCATGTCCTGAAAAAATAAAAAATTAATTAATGCGAAACTACAAAGTAAATAATTATGATACAGAAATTGAGGGAAATTTGATAATTTTTCTAAAAATTAAATTATATCAAGAATAATTTATTTGGAAAAATTCCATCTTTAAAAGCTCTAAAAAATAATAAATGTAATTTTTTAAAAATGATTTTCTAAACTTAATTTATTTAAAAAAAAAAAAAAAAAAAATTGTCAAATGTCTGCCAATTTGAGTGTCATAAAGAACTTTTAAAAATTGTTGACAATTTTTTATTTTCTATTTACTTGTGTGCTGTGAGTTGACATTATATTTATATTATTTGGATGCTGTCAAATGTAATATATATTTTACCCTGCTTTGTTTTTTTCTTGAAATGAAAACTTGGAAACAACAATATAAATACCATCCAGAGTTTCCCCGAATACTCCGAATAATCAGCAGAATTAGTACGGACCGAGACTGAGTGTTTGTTGTGTAGACCGAGGTATAAAATAACAATCACGAATCTCGATATAAGTATTCAAAGAATAAACGTCGAACCCCAACAGATATAAAATGACACTCAATGTTATTCATATCGAAGTTAAAAAAATCTACTTGGCTGATGTTTAACATTATTCATTTTAATAATAACAATATATAAGTATCAATTTAGCAGATATTTAATTATTTTTAGAATTTTTTTAACGGATAAATTATGGCAAAAAAATTGACAAGTAGAAATTTTAAAAAATGAAAAATGCAATTTTTTTTTTTTAATTAATAAATTATCAAGTTACTGCTAGCTTTAATGCTATCAAAAACGCCAACTTCCTGGCTCTATAATCAACAATATTTATTTATTTATGAATATTAAGTTAGCCGACTGCTAAAAATTGTTATAATTTTTTTTATTGAAAATTTTTATACAATTGAATAAAAAAAATTTCATTTGTCAAAAAATTGTAAAACTAATAATCATTAAAAAAAAAAACATTTTTAAAAATTTTGCATTTATAATTTTTTTAAATTTATATTTGTGGAGTTTTTTAAATAAAATTTCTTTATAATAATTTAGTTGTTAGAAAAATCGAACAATTGACAAATTTCAGTAATCATAACAATTTATTATTATGAAAATTAAGTTAATCGACATCTAAAAATTTTTAGAATTTTTTTTTTTTATTGAAAAAATGATGACAAAAAAATAAAAAAAAAATTTTCATTTGTAAAAAACTTTAAAAACTGTCACTGCAATTTTTTAAAATATTATTTTATTATTTATATAATTGTCATAATTTGTTTATGATATTAAAATCAGCAGACTGATCAGTTTTTAGTTTTTCCTAACAAATAAAAAAAACTATGAAAATTAAGTTAGCCGACATTTAAAAATAAAAAAAAATTTTTTTATTGAAAAAAATGACTACAAAAAAAAAAAGAAAAAAAAATTGTCAATTGTTAAAAACTTGAAAAACTGCAAGTGCAATTTTTAAAAAATATTTTTTTGTTCTAATTTAATTATTAAAAAAAAAATCAAAAAATTAAAAACGTCGGCTAAATTTAGTATCATAAAAAAACTGCATTAATTTAATAATTTTTCAACATTTTTACAAGTAAATTTTATTTCTTTTGCAATAATTTGTTTTTCAAAAAAAATAATTAAATCTCCTTTGTTCAGTATCATTTTTTTTTATATTTTATCTAAAAAATTTTTTTAATTTAATTAAAATAAAAATTGCAATTATTTATTTAAAATTCTAAAATTATTTATGTAATACATCGATTGTTTACGCGTCCAGGGAACGAGCAAAGAAAAACTTAAAAAAAACTGTACGTTAAACTAAAATTCTCCGGATTTCCCACCACCTAGCTCTAGCTTCTTTGCTTGGGTACACCGCAGACAGCACACGCCACGGCCACGGCCATTGGTGCTCTCCGAGACTACCAAAATCTATTGGCCAAATAAAAACTGTAACTCACGCTCACGCTGTAAGCTTTATGCTTCATTACGCGCTGAATATTGGACTGCACATCACATCTGTTCGGCACACTGAGAACAGAACACAGCATTTTTACATTTTATTCGGCAGTAGCCAGTTGCTTCAAATTCTTCGTTCGATTTCATTAACGTCCAGTGCCAGTTGTTTAATTATTAAAAAAGAAACAAGTGAATCAACAATTGACAATTTCAATTATTAAATTGAAATGTATAACAACCAAAGAAGTAATAATGAGAGCGATACTGGGAAAAATAATGGAAGCCTAGTTAATAAGTCTGGCAAAAATTACCAGTATGTGTACAGCATCAATAATTTATCCAGTAAGTAATTTTTTTTGTTTTTTAAATTTTAGTTTATTTAACAGTTAGTTACAATTAACCTGTTTATTTAATTATTTTTAAATAAATTATTCGAAAATAGAATTTGTAAATTTAAGATTTGACCAAATCATTTTTTAGTTTTAATTGAAAAAATGAATCAGTGCTTGAAAAATTAGTCTAAAAAATAATGAAAATTAAGTTAGCCGACATCTAAAAATTTTTAGAATTCTTTATTATTAAAAAAAATTAATAATAATAAAGTTAGCCGACATTTTTAATTTTTTGATTTTGCTTGATTTATTAAATTAGAACTAAAAAATGTTTTTTTAAAATTGCACTTACAGTTTTTTAAATTTTCTAGAAGTCAATTTTTTTTTTAATTGTTTGTAATAATTTTTATCAATAAATTTTTTTTAATTGTTTATAATAATTTTTTTTCAATAAAAAAATTATAAAAATTTTTAAATGTCAGCTAACTTAATTTTCATAAAAATTATAAAAAAATAAAAAAAAAAACAAATTCACTTGTAAAAAATTTGAAAAACTGTAAGTGCAATTTTTAAAAAATGTTTCTTAGTTTTAATTTAATAAATGAAGTAAAATTAAAAAAATTAAAAATAGGGGCTGACTTTGTTTATTATTGAAAAATACATGAAAATTAAATTAGACAACATCTAAAAATTTTTATAATTTATTTTATTGAAAAATATTAAAAGAAAAAATTTCACAAGTTAAAAATTTGAAAAATTATCTATGAAATTTTTTTAAAGTACTTGTAATTTAATTGATGAAAAAAAATCAAAAAGTTACATAATTTTTTTTAATTTTTACGTGTGAATTATTTTTTTTTTATTTTATTTATAATTTATTCATATATAAATTTTAACACTGAAAAAATTATAAAATGGATTATCGATAAATTTAAAACAATGAAATTAAAATAAAAAATTATAAAATCACTGCTTTCATTGTTTAAAAATTATATTGTTTATTTAAAACTAAAAAATTGTTTTATATAAATTAGTATAAATTTTTTTTTATTAAAACAATTCTAGAAATATATAAATTTTGCTAATTTATATACAAATAATTAGTGTTAATAAATAAATGTAAAAAGCTGAATGCAAAAAATTTTTAAGGATAAAAAATTGACAAGTTCTCAGCATTTACACTTATAAATTCATTTACGTATCCATAATTTATATATTAATTATTTATAATTAAAAACTAATTATAAAATAATACTTTTTTAATTAAATTAGACCGGCGATGGGACAGATCAAAAAATGACTTGCACGATCACTACTACGCCAAGAATGATGAAAAAAGTGATTTGTCGGTAGAAGAGTCAATTGAGATTAATAAAAACGTGCTTGAGATTTCAAAAACATCGGGACTTGACATCACTCAAGTCAACGGCCAGCGGAAACTAGGCCCGCCAAAAGATTGGGTCGGCGAAGCACCGAGTCCTGAGTGCGAGGTTTTCGTTGGTAATCTTCCAAGAAATATTTATGAAAATAAGCTCTACCCGATCTTCCAGCGAGCTGGAGAAATTTTTGAAATTCGTCTCATGATGGATTTTTCTGGCACAAACCGGGGCTATTGTTTTATAAAATACACTAAGCCCGAATACGCGGCAAAAGCCATCAAAGAATTGAACGAGTGGCCGATTGAAAGAGGGAAAAAAATAGGCGTCGTAGCGAGCGTTAATAACTGTCGCCTGAGTATTGCTCGATTGCCTCCAGAACTAGATACGAAAACTTTTATCAAGGTATTTATTATTATCTTCCTGCATTCATATACATAGCATGTTTCTAAGCACAATTATGTACAAATATTGTTATTTTTAACATTAAAAATATTTTTATATATTTTAATGCAAGTCACAGATTTAATGAGTATTTTGCTTTTAAAAAAAAAATTTTAAATATTTTACAATAATTTTCTTTTTATTTTTATTTTTAGCTTCATTTTCATTATCTACACTGATAAAAGGATTTGTTTTAGTTTGAAATATTTGTTAATATTCAGCAAACCATTTATTTAAGACAACTTTTTAGTCCTTAACAAATATTTTATAGTATTTAAAAAAATTTATTAATATTTAATATATGAATATTAAATTTATTAAATACAAACAAATCATTTTAAATACTAAGAAATATTTGTTTAATACTAAAAAGTGGTCTAATAATTGATTTTTTAACTATTAACAAATATTTTTTAAAACAAATAAATCCTTCTATCCGTGTACATTTAAATTAAATTAAAATATCACTTAAAATATTTTATTGTTACTATTAATGTATATTATCGATCGGCTTTCTTTTGCAATAAATAAATAATTATATTAATAATAATTAAAGTAATTGAAAAAAAATTTTTACAGAAAATTTACGAAACCACAGAGAGTGTGACTCAAGTCGCGGTTTACAGCATCGCTAAAAGTAATGCCGCTAATAAGCCGATGCAAAAAAAGGCGTTAATTTCGTACAAAGCGCACATTGATGCTGCGATGGCCAGAAGAAAGCTCATGCCGCAGAGAACGACTTTATTTCCCAATGTTGAGTTGATTATAGATTGGGCTCATCCTAGTTCATCGATGCACAATGTTGTAAGTATACATTTATTTTATTTAATACTTAAATTTAAAATTTAATATACAAAGGAATGTTGTTTGCAACAATCGAGTGATAAAATAAAATGAATAAAAAAGGCTAGACCATCAACATTTGAACACTCGACATGACATCTTTTGTCTTGGCCATGAAGAGAGAACAATGACTGTATGGTCACTAAGACGACGGTCTCACGCGAAAATTGGAACGTGGTAACTTTCCCTTCTGAGGATTTTATACAACGCAATGTTATTTCCTTTTTTTGATTATAAGCTATTTTTGTTTATTTATTTAATAATATTTGGGCAATATTTATTGTTCAAGTTATTTATAATTATGTTTTGACTTATAAGTATTAAGTTTATACATTACCTTTCATGTTTGTGCACTGTCCAAGCACTGCGAAAGACTGACAAGTGTAATTTTTATTTTTACCTAGTACAGGTCAGTCTTATCACTTATCACCCTTTGAATATTGCATTTATCTTTATCTTTTTATGTTTATGAAGAATTATTTTTACTGAGACTTCAGAGGTTTGCATGGGAATTATATTCAATATTTTTTTTACTTTAAGTTTATAAATAAATAAAAAAATACTTGAAGTATTTTATGCACAACATTAATTATTCTTAATTGTAATTATGCCTGGATAAGAATAATTAATTTTTTACTTCTCATAAAATTGTGAGAATAATTTGGAAATTTTTATTATTAATAATTGATTATTTATTATAATATAATTGGTATAAATAATCGATGACAAAAACATATACATTATTTGAAAATTAAGTATTTAAATTACAGATTACGAATTGTTAATAATATTGGTAAAAGTAGAAATTAATTTTTGTTTAAATTTGATTGATTATTTTTAGAACAGTTTTTAGCAAAAATGATCAATCATGATAAACAACCTACATTTTTTTTTTTTTTTTTTTTTTTTTTTTTTAAATTTTAATGCATGATTTTAATTATTAACACAAAATTAAATATTAAATTTATACGTAACAAAATACTAATAATTTATAACAGTTACGTTTTATAAAAGTTGAAAAAAAATTAATTACACAAATAACGAATTGCATCTTAACTAAAAATCTAAACTGCATGTTTATAATGAGTAATAAGAAATTGATTATTTTTTAAAAAATTTATGGGTAAAAATAATTATTTCTTTTCATTAATTTCTCAAAAATGAATATTCTTCTTTTTTCTTCAATTTTTTTTTCTATTATTTTGACTAATACCTAATGCATTGATTATTGATATTAAAATTTATGGGATTAATAATCAATGTAAAAACAAAAAATAATTTTCCAGCATGTTTTTAATTTTTTTAAATCACTTAAAGAGAAACAGTTTAATAAATCATAGCTATAAAAAAAACTATGGGTATTTTATTGTAACAAATAGCAAAATTTTAGCACAATTTTTTATTTATCGAATAAAATTTCAGAAAATTCAAATCATAAAATTTACTTTTGCAAATTTGAAAGATTTCAACTTTTATATTCTCAATGATTGAATAATTAATTTTTTTTTTAATTTTAAAATTAAATCCACAAAATCAATGCCGGTAAAATAGAAGATAAATGTTGAGCTCTATCTTACTGTCAGATTCACTAAAAGCTTTTAAAAACCAACACAAGCGTCGCTTAAACCGCTTTTACGTGCCACATTAAAATGAATTAAAATTCGCTCCAGTTAGTCAGCTGATCCAACTCATAAAGTAATATTTGCTTATTCCGAGTGGAGTGATTTTGTTTAATTTGTTCCATTTTTTTTTTTTTGTAAAAAATCAAATCACTATGTCTGGTATACTTGATGAACACTCATCTTGGAGAAGTCCTTTATCAACTCGTTATGCATCGAAAGAGATGCTGTTTAATTTTAGCGAGCTAAATAAATTCGCCACGTGGCGCCGGCTTTGGATTTACCTGGCGAAAGCACAAAAGGTTAGTTTACTTTAATTGTTGTTGTTGTCATCAATCATTTATTCTATTCTTGATTTCATTACTGACCAATAATAATAACAATATTGTTATTGTTAAGAAAATTTCCTGCCTTCAAGCTAAGGCAATAAAAAAGAAAAAAAAAAAAGAAAATTTTACAATTTTTGATTTAATTAAGATGAAAAAAAAAATTGAAAAATAATTTTAGTATAAAATTATAATATATATAAAAATAGTAAACTTGAAATATATATTTTTCAACTCATCTCTAGCAAATGATGCAATCGCTCAGGGGGTATACAAGTTATATTGATATTAAAATCAGATATCTGACAATTTTTAAGATTTTTCTTCATAAATATATATAAAAAAATTTTTTTAATTTTCCATTCGAAAAAAAAAAAATTTTTTTTTAAATATTTTGTTCATACTAATTATTTTTTTAATTAAAACTAAAAAATCTATTACTGAAATCAGAGGACACTTAATTATTTTTTAATTTTATTTACAAAATGAGTACGAAGAAAATATTATTAAAAAATTATACTCATAGTATTTTTTATAATTTCTATTTACAGAATTTTTAAAAGTTTCTTTTATAATAATTTTATTTTATTTAGTTTGAAAAATCCTAACAAGTATCACCCAGTAAACAATAGTCAGAATGTTTGCTGAACAAATATCTTATAATTTAAGTATATTTTAATAAGCATATATTAAGCAATTTATTTTTCAATAATTACTCGATGTAAAAAGTTTTCAGTCATCGAAATTTTCATAACACTTAATCGTTCAATTAAATCTTTAAAAGGTTACAGTGTTATCATTATCACATTTTATTGACTGGCTAGCGCTTACGAAATTACCCATAATCTCTGAAGTCTTACAAAATAATTCATAAACAATAAAACCACGAGAGTTAATTGATAACTTCCCTCGATTGTTCGCAAACAACAAGTTCCTTGCGTTTTCTCAGTAAAAGTAAAAATTAATGTTAATCGATTTAATTTATCACCTACAAAGATCGAAGAGTGCGGAGTTATGTCCGAAGACGGTGAGATACATATTTCAGAGAGGTACATCGAGCCAAAAAAACATTACAAACCAAAGGATGTTTCTGCTAAAAGTAACAAATTTGGAAAAGGCACCGACGTTTTGGATAAAAATCTAGGAAGCGGGAGGAAAAATACTATTGGATGTAAATCCAAGCAATTTTTTAAGACACCTCACGAGCAGCAGCGAGTTGTTAGTAATAATACTTTCAAGAAAATACCGCTGAATCCTATTTGTAAAAGATCACTGTCGATGATCCAGGAGAACAATAGTGCTCTTAGAGATATTAATGTTAATAACAAATCTGCTGTGAGCTTCAATCATTCGCCAGTTGTTATTAGAAGTCCGTATTTGTCTGATAACAAGGAGAATATTTCTGACCCGTATTTAATTCCTGCTATCCAAAATTTGAATCAAAACCTCAATAATATAAGCCTTCCTCCGGTTTTTAATTTCAATGGATTCAACTTTAATCAAAGTTACCAAGTTGTTCAAAAAAATTTGATTATGACACCCAATTTACAGCCAACATTTCCTGTTTATCAGGATAATTTTTGCGTCGACCAAAATTGGTCCAATTTTGATAACAATAGAGTTAATGACTCATATTATAATCAACAGTATTGTAGTAATATCAATACAAATATTAATATGAGATGCAATTTACCGGGTCTAAATATTGTGCGCTCTTCAATACCTAATCAGTGTCCCGAAAATTTAAATGTTTTTGGAAACGGTCAAGGGCACTTGATAAACAATCAAGTTGGTTATCGGCCTCAATATGACACCAAATCTTTTGGGCTTGGAAAGATAAATCATTTTCCTGTAATGTGTGCTGACAATCAACTATTCAGTGTCCCCAGAGGCATTTTTAAATCTCAATACTAATTTTTTAGTGTTTTATTTGCCGTTTTTTTGTTTTGTAATATTGAATTATACTATAATTATCAAGATTTTAATATGAATGATTTTAAATAGTGGGCTTTTAAGTTTTAAGTTAGTGTTGAAAAATTTTTAAAGAAAATAATTATAGAAAAAGTTGATTTTTTTTTTTATAAAAAAAATATAGATTTTATTTTATTGATTATGACTTGAATTAAAAAAAAAATATTAAAAATTGGAGAGTTCCATTCTTTTGATAAAATAAGGAAAAATTTATAAATTGAAAAAATTAAAAAAAATTGAGATTTCTTCAATTAAAAAAAAATACGAATTATTATATTATTGATCAAGTTATTAAATTTAAATTTTTAAAACATGCAAATTAATAAAATAAAACATGCAAATTTTTAAGATAAAAAAGTCACAATTAACAATAAAGTTAATTAAATGTTTTTAATGAATGAAATAAAAAATGAGATTAAATTTAAAAAATGATACTAAAAAAACCAAGATTTTTTAAATTTATGATTAAATCGTAGGAAAAAATTGATTATGACTTGAATTAAAAAAAATTGAAAATTGAAGAATTCCATTTTTTTGATAAAATAGAAAAAAATTTATAAATTTAAAAAATGAAAAAAAAAATGAGATTTCTTTAAATAAAAAAAACACGAATTATTATATTATTAATCAAGTTATTAAATTTAAATTTTTAAATCGACGAAATTAACTTAAGAAAATGCCATTTTTTTAATAGAATAAAAAATGAAGATTTTTAAGATAAATAAGTCACAATTAACAATAAAGTTGATTAAATGTTTTTAATGAATGAAATAAAAAACGAGATTAAATGGAAAAAAAAGGAACCAAGATTTTTTAAATTTATGATCAAATCGTAGGACAAAAATTTTACTATGAAATATAAAAAGAAAAAATGTAATTATTTGACAATACCATACAAAATAATCGTTTTTATACTAAGAAAAGTCATTACTTACATGTGTATTATTATTTTAATAAGGATAGTAGTAATTAAAATAATTCTACGTAAAACAAAGTTTTATATATATATGTAAACTAAATAATGTAATTATTATTTTATATGCATGCGTTAAATTGATTGAAATCAAGGCCACTGAAATGATTTTTTTTTTAATTCCAATAAATTTATCTATTAAGGTTTGTTAACATTACTATTACTAAAAATCTATAAAAATCACACATCACATAATTTTTAGAGATTCTTCTTCAGTTTTTGTAACATCTAATTATTGATTGCTTATGTTAATTTTATTGTAATCGATAAATTAATCACGTAAGAATGATAATTGAAATAGTTTTTATATAAAAATAAAATTTCCCAATTCAAAACAATTTTAAATATTATTTATTATAATTAATCGATAATTATAATTACTTAAAAAAAATCTTACAAATACAATCTTATAAATAAATCTTAATAAATATAAATTTTTAGTGGTCATAAGAAATTTCGTCATCAAAAGGATTGTCTGATTCTTTAATTCTGTCATCGGCTTCGTGAAATTCTTTGCGTGACGATCTATTGCTTCGAGTGGATGACGGACGTTCATCTATTTGTTGATCTTCGAGTCTTTCGACCACTTGTTGAAATTAAGATTGAGGTCGAGAGGAATTGGGTGTTGACGCGGGACTCACTTTATTTCTAAATCTTTTAGGTGATTCATCAGTAATTAGATGCTTTGAAGAAGTCCTTGGCGAATCCATAGAACTGATCCAACTTAAGAAATTAGAATCCTCGATATTATAAACATCAATTTAATTTCTTGTATCACTTGTCTGCAAAGATTCTCTGTACAAAGGTTTAGCTCTCTTTCGGTTGTTCACCGTCGATTCAACGTCGCCGTTATTTTTTGTGTCTTCACTTTTAATTTCGCTATCTCGTAATTGCGGTTTGCTTTCTCTAGCAGTTTGATCTTCAGTAGGTTCTGGATGTGGTACCAAATTAATCTGCTTTGGCTCCGACTCGTTAGTTGCTGGTTCGCTATCAGTATGGTCTTTTCTGAAAAGTAAAGAGAAAATGAATTTTAATTTTAATCAAGTTCACTTAAAAAGTGCTTATTCTATTTATCAACTTGTCATTTTGATCACTCCTGGCATCAGATACAGATCTATGTACTTGTGATTTGGTTTGTGTCCTCTTATTTTTTTGAACGTGGAATGATGATCCGTCGTTACCAGAAGTTAGGTATGATCCCACTGTTGAAAATGATTTCAGTGTACTTGACATTTCGGCTCCTTGCATCATTGATGGACCTTTAATATTATTATCATTATTAATTTCACTATCAGTCAAATGGTAAACTTTAATTTAAGGTTCTTAGTTATTGTGGTACAATATTGTCAAAAAATTAGAGATTATACGAGCCGCAAAAGTATATGAGCTTGTAGCTAGGTAATCCTTAATTTTTACGCAAGATTGTACCTGTGGAGACGCAACCTATACAATTGTTTCTGTCCGACTCTCTAGATATATACTTTTTCATAAATTGTTGAACTTTAATCCGTTATTTATAAATAATTAGACGGTCAAAAATTTTTTTTTTTTTTAACTTAGAACAAATATATTAAAAGACTGTGAGTTTTTTGAAAGTTTCTAACAGTTAGTTTTTTTTTTTTTATAACTGGTACAGAATTGTAGAGAGTATATGCAATCAATATTAAATATCCAATTTGCAATTGAATTTTTCTCGGGTTATATAAATCGTCAATCGACTTCAAATTTTTAGGGTAATTGTATCATCATGTCCTTAATAAGTACACAAAAATTTAGAATTTTCCGATGGTATGCCTTAGCCACGACTACTACCTTAATAAAATTAATTTGTTTTTAATTGCCGTACAACGTGTTTATAAAAAATTTAAACTTCTTATTACCGATAAAATTATTTATCAATTTTTAATATTTTTTATTTTTAAACAATAGTATTCAAGACAAAAATCATTTTATCGAAGTAAATCATTTTTTTTTTTGCATATTTTTCTACTAAAGTCAAAAGAGTTTAAATAATTTGATAGAAACTATTGTTAATAATATTATTGTTATAACTTTTTAAACTTTAGATAATAATAAAAACAATAGTTTTTATAAATAAATTTCTTTTTTCTGTTTAAATAAATAGAAGCTAAAATTTTTAAAAATTAGGATAAAATGTTTCTTTCTTTTTAATGAAATAAATATTCAAAGTATTGCATTGATATATGTAATTAGTTACCATAAAAATAATAATACTGTGTTCTAACATTTAATTTTAAATTTTGAAAACAAGAATAAAATAAGCCGGATTGAGTCAGTCATAATTAAAGGCACAAAATAAATAAAATTTTGTTTATTCAAAAATTATAATTTCTCTAAAAAATTATTTTAAAATCTCTATTTACCGCGTAGATGCAACTAAAAATTTTCCATTGTTAGTTAAACATAAATAAAAGGACCAATCCCGTTCTACTTTAAGACTCTTTCTAATTTTTTTAAGATAAGTTCATATTTCCCATGAAAAAGTTATTTAAAGAAAAAAAAAATCAATATTTAAACAATATCTTTTAAATAAAATCTTACAAGTATTGTAGGCCGCATTACAACTTGTGGTCGCTTTGTCGGATGGTTTCACAACTCTATCTGAAAAATAAAGGGTTTAAATACTCAACCGGATGGTATTTATTTAATATATGTGACAATAATGATCCTGATAAGCATCAAACCCGACCATATCCTGGTTGTCTAGCAGTTTCTGTAGTCGGAGTTGTTGTGTAGTTAGCCCAGTGCAGTTGGCTGGCTTGTACTTGCTGAGTTTGCTGCGCCCGTTCTTGAGATCTAATGTGCTGAATTTTGTGGACTTTGCCGCAAATCACCGATGCGCAATTGCAGCTTTAATTAATGCGATTTATCAATAACAAAATAATAAAAATAAAAATTTGTAAATAATTTTCTGATTGCAAAAAAATAATGCTCATTTAATTATGAAATAATAATAAAATAAAGCAAGTGTAAAAAAAATATCAAACAAATGAAATAGGATGATAATGAATAGACGCACGTGCCTCTATTGGGATAAACGTACTCAATAAAATACAGTATAATTTGGTTATTAATCTCCATTAAATTATCTCGACAATATTATGCAAAATATCTTGATTCCGTGAACTAATAAGGATTGAATAATAAAAATAGTTGCCGAAATAAGGCAAAAAAAATGTTTCAATCGTAAAGCACTCTCTGATGCTTCGCATCATGAGTCGTGCAATATACTTGGAAAAAAAAACTAGTGTCTAAATTTTTGAATTTTTTTTGCAACCATTCTCAATCCAAAATTTTTTTAAAATTATTATTCTTACAATTCGCAACAAGGTCCAGCGTGATGAGGAATTGGTTTAGGTGGAGCTGGAGGTGGTGGTGGAGGAGGAGGAGGAGGAGGAGGAGGAGGGGGTAGTGGTGGTGGGGTAGGAGGAGGAGGTGGCGGTGGAGAAGGAGGAGAAGGAGGAGGAGAAGGTGCTGATTTCACGACAATCGAAGTTGGAATGATACCGCATCCTTTAAATGCAGCAGGACAAATAGGATGAGGACCTCGGCAAAATTGAACAGATTGGATGTTCTGGTGCACTGGAGTCGCGGACGGTATCATAGATCGCGGTGAACTCGAACGACGACTGTATCGTGGCGAACTCTGTGCTAGAGGAAGCTGGGTAGTTTCCAATTGCTCGCCGATACTTTCTGAAGCTTGAGGTACTTCTGGTAGTGGACGGTGGCAGATATCGCAGGTGGTTTGATTTAAATTTTCTCTGTATTGAAGACTCTGGAAGTAAAATCAGATAGTTTTGTTTATTTATCGATGAAAGGTGCTGGCAGTTCTAGGTTTTAGGTTCTAGGTCACCTTACTTTCATAGCTATTACCTTTTGTGATGATGTTTCTCGCTCACTGTGAGGTCGATCGGGGTATTGAGGTTTATGATATACATCGACGTTTGTATTTGCTTCGTGTGATTCAACTTCTTGGGTCGGTACTGCTGCCATCCCACAAGTACAGTTCTGAAGATAAAGATTGTTTATTTTGTTTGGGCGATAAATGATAAAAAGAAATAAATTTATCTTAGAGAAGAGAATAAAATTTTTTTGACTCGATTTTTTTGAGCAGAAAAAAATTTTTTTATTTTTAACTCTCGGAGTACACCGGGGGTCAATTTGACCCCAGAATTTTTTTTTATCCTAAAATATTTCTCAAAAATAGGTTCGTTTTTAATGAATTTTTTCAACATTAAAAACTATTTAATTCAGAATAGTAATGATTGTATTCAAAAGAGCATTGTTTTACCTATCAAAAATTTAATAACCTGAATTCCGATAAAATGTATAGTTTCTGGGATATAATTTTTCAAAAGTCAAGTGTGGTCACAATTTGACCTCGTATGTTTAAGTGAAACTTTTTTTTCTATGTACGTCTATTAGATGCAGTAATTTTACCGGATATTTTTTTATGGTGAATTTGTAACAAAAATCATGAAAATTTTTGAAAATAATTTTTTCAATTAGTTTCAAAGCTTTAAATATAAAAAAAAAAATTATTTCAATTGAAAATCGTTTTTAAAATTTGTTTACATAAGTCTTGTGCACAGTAAAAAATTTTGCGTCATTGCGTCAAAAAATTTTGTGTTAAAAATTTTTATGTTAAATATTTAACACTTTTTGGTATTGATTTAACACAGTAATTGTTAAATCAACACAAAAAAGTGTTAAATATTTACCACAAAAATTTTTAACACTAAGTTTTTGGACGCAAAATTTTTTACTGTGTGATTTCTGGTTTTGTTTCCAATATTCTATTTGTAAAAACAAAAAAATTTTTAAAAAATTGTCAACTAACAATTTTTTCTTTCTATATAAGATGAAAAAGTTGTAAGCTTTCACAAAAAATTTTTTTTGAATCTCAGTTGAAATTTCCAAGCAATAAAAAATTTTTTCCATCAAAAAAATTCAAAATGACCCTTATTTAAAAAAAATATCAAACTGACACTCACTTCAGGCATTATACTACCGTTTTGTGTAAACATCTTTGGACCCCCTGGAAAGTACTGCCCGTATGATACCGGATGGCATTTTCTCATTGCAGAAAATCTATGACGCCATATCCTAAAATTACAATTTAATAAATTTTTAACATACGGGTTTCAATGGCTGTCAAAAAAATAATATATGATATTAAAAAATGAAATGGAAGTCAGTCAACATTTAAAATTTTTATAGTAAAATCATGTAATTAATTTTTAATTAGTGTACTTTTTGGCTTGTAATTAAAACTTACAGTAGTATTGTCAAGAATGTAATTGTGTGAACAACGCTTATCAAAAAACACAACATAAAAGACGCTAAACGTCCCCAAGTTTTTACAGGCGCCGTATAGAGAAGTGCACAACCCGCTGCCAAGTAAAATATCACGCCCAGAAAATTAACAAATACCATCTGTTGAAAGTTTAAAAGGTTTACAGTAATTAGTCACTAAAAAGTATTTGAAAAATTAAGATAAGATAAAACAACAATATAATAATTGGGCACTTTGTTCCCATTGTATTATGTTGTCATACACCGCATTAACGATAGAAGAACGTTAATGATGTGTAAGAACAATAATAGTCATCCTTGAGAAATTTATTGAAATGTTTACTGTATTTATAACAATAAATATTGAATAATTACCGGATATTCTGGAATATCAGTTCCAGTGAAATGAGATATTATTTGAATACCGTCAAAAAATAAAAACGCTACTGATATAGCTATTACAAAAATACTTGTCGTCTGGCGAATCCCAAGGTCTGGTAGAGATATTAAATAAACTATCAATCCAAATAGGAATAATGTTAATATCTAGAAATCAATAATTAATTAATTAATTAAATACAAATTTTTAACACTTAATTTCTTCATAAATTTATATGAAATATTAATTGGCTATTTCTATTATTGGATATAAAATTATACTAAATACCAAGTTTAATTTTTTTTATAAATTATTAATAAAAAGTCAAAAAATAATTTACAAAAATTAGCAATTGAAAATCTAGTTTAAATATTACTTCAAAGAATCTTTTTTTCTTGGAATTAAATTCTCTAAAAATATGTCCCTAATTAATTTTTTTTTTTTTAAATTATATTTCTGACATCTTTCATAGAATTTAAATCCAAAAACTTAAATTAAGTTTTCATTTAAAAAAAAAAATTTATGCCAAAACTGCTATTAAGACCAAAGTAACTGATACAGAATTACTGAAAGTTAATAATTTACAAAACTTACAAACTCAATTATCTTTATTGGAGTTGTCAACTTCAAAAACCACGCGTCAGTTTGCGTGTCTACACAACCTAATTGGACGGCATTTTTTCGAAGAAATCTTCTATACTTACCATTTTGTTTATTTTTAGAGATACTTTTTTCTATCAATAAATAACAATATAAATAGATTCAATTACTACACTTACAATCACCATAATTTTTAATTACCTTTGGACTGCATACTTTATAAAAATTAATAATTAAATATTAAATTTACTTATTTTTAAACTTAATCATTAGCAAAAAAGCTTCAGTTTATTTGATGACGTTTTTAGGTTTGACAGATCATTCTTCATTTATTTTTCAACTCAAAAATAGAACTCTTATTTATTAAGGAAATCTTTTCGCTCCAGTTGAGTCAAAACAATTGTAGTAGTCAATATACGATAAATTAAAAAAAGAAACCCATAAAAATTCCTAAAATTAAATAATAAATAGTATATGAGGCATTAATCGTTGAAATTTTGAAAATAAAAAAAAAAAAAAATAGTTAAATACAAAAATTAATTTAACTCTTTCAAATCAACTGCTAGTAACCTGTCCGTGATTTGGCAATGCTGTACTTCGGTTGTTTACATTTTCATTCGCACAATATAACCTTAACCACGTTTAAGTTTTTGCAGTCAGTGTAAATAAATAAATTAGTTTGAATTTATTAAATGGTCTGAAGCTCGCGCGCTACGAAATGTTGCCAAATGTTTTGATTCCATTTTAATGTAGGTTACTTGAGAATTTTTTGGGATTTTTAAATATTAATTTCTCAATATAATCTATGACTGATAGTATAATTCGAGAAATACTGCAAACGTCTGACTTTCTCGTAAGACTTTGAACAAATACTAACATTTAAAAATTTTATTTTTTCAAAAATTTGTCCGGTAAAGTATAATTTAAACCTCACTATTAGATAAATAAGGACCTTAACTATTAGAAAAAAATTGAATTTACTCATAATCTAATATTTTTTATTTTACATTGGCGGCGAAAGGACCTCCTTAATTTAGTAATTAAATAAAATGAATAAACAAATTTTTGGTCATTTATTGCAATATAATTTTATTGATATAAATATTAAGTATTGACAAATAAAAATGTAGTAAACTTATGTATACAATAAAAACGTACGTATAGTAATCTAATTGATTTTTAGTTTTGTCGTATTATTGAAGTCTGAAAATACATTGTATACGTATATATAATATTACAGTATAAGTAAAATTAAACTACGTAACACTACAATACTAACATAACTATTCTATAATATCATAACGCTCGATAAATGGACGGAATAATTACGGGCTCGAAATAATTTATCATTTATCTTATAAATAAATAATAACTAGTCGTAGTGCAATTACTTAATATGTATATTTTTTTTTCTTTTTATTTTTACTTTTCTCTAATCTATTTTGCTGACAAAATATATAATTTTTTTTATATTAAATGTATATAGATATAGATAATTTTTCTTTGTAAAAATCTATTTACAATTATTTTAGGAGGCAACTCATATCACTTAGATTTAAAATTCATCATTTTTTATTTATAATCATAGGCATTTTAAATTGACATTAATAATCAAGTGCGCTTAAGTGATTTATTCAATTTGCGGGATAATAAAAATTATGCATGCGCAGTATAAAGTTTTATAATATTTATAAGTCAAATTAACCTTTTACTTATGTTATATTTATTAAAAAATTATGTGTAAATTTTATTAGTCTTGCAGAAAATTTAACATTTGTATAAATCGTTTTTGTACACGCGACTTCTATTTATTTTAATATTTTATTTTTGCGATGTGAAAATTACTTGTAAAGTGTAATTTATTTAGCGTTTTTTACAAGATATTTTAATATTCAATAATTTTAATCAAACTCGCAAAATTTATCAAAAATACACTTTAAACTAATTTATCTACAATGTCTCAATAATTACAAAAGTAATTATCTTATTTTTAAAATCTTTAAGCAGACATTTAACAATAATTTGAATTTTTTAATACAAAAATTTTCACAGTAAAAATTTGAAAATATTTTTGTAGAATATTTAAAAAATATCCGACGTCTGCTAATTTAAGATTCGTATTTTTATGAATTATTTAATAAAAATAAAATCTATCAAATCATAATTTTACAGGAAAAAAAAAAAATTGTTAAATAAAATCTTACTTTGATGAAAATTTATAAAAATAAAATATCAGAAAATGATAATGAGTAGTCTCCTTGACGGTAACGCTTACATCCTAAAAAGCAATTAAAGATCATCAATATTGACAAAAGAAGAGGTCTAACTTAAAAATTTAATTACTAAAAAAAAAAACTTAATTAATGGACGGATTTAACGATAAGCGATAATAATCGAGTTAAAACTTTGAACTTTGGATTACAGCGTTGTACATTTAAGCTTCTCAATGTTTCATACAGCCTGCCAATTGTAGTTCTTAATACAAACGAGCACAAAGTTTCCTTCATATTACTTTTATATAAATATTAGTTTTTGTATAACTTTAAAATAATTTTAACTTACTTGGACTTATTATATGACACTTGGTATATTTGTCATTAAAACATACTTAACATTCCGTAATAACAGAGTAGAGAATAGTTGCGCGATCAGTAACGGCCTAGTTCGTTCAAGGAGACCTCGTACTGTCGCGAAATAACGGGCTACGAGTACTTCACTGTGACGAAGACTTCAGCGGCGTAAACAGCCGCGTTTATGAATGTAAACACTGATGCGGAGATCATCATGTCATTGTACATTTTACTCGAGTAGATGTTGTTGTTCTGGACGTCGAAGTAAGAACCTACTGCTTTTCTCCAGCTGTGAACCATTACACTTGCTGAGATCAGGTGCATAATAGCTCCTACTACTGAGAACATGATTATCTAAAAAAAAAAAAAATAATAATAATAATTATGATATTTTAATAATAATAATAATTTATAGATATTTTTCCAAAAAACATTTTTTTTATAAAAAAGTTTTGAGGAAAAGTTCCACATAGAGGAATTTAGAAAAAAGATGAGAGCAATTTTTTGAAAGTATTTTCTTAATTCTAAGTTGTTTGTTAAATAAAACCAAAAATTGCGCGATGTTCTCTGATTTCCGCCTCATTAATTATAATAATAATGTTATTGATAATATTTGATAAAAAAAATAACAGTTAACAGTTTTTAAAAATATTAAAAGAATGCACAAAAAAATAAAAACATTATCGTGTTAGCAATATTGTTATGATAACAAAAGGAAAAATGAGAAATTAATTTTTTTGCGACAAGTACGCTCTTTTAACTTAAAAAAAAAAAAATATCAGAGCCAAAAAGGCGTACAAAAGAAATTTTTATTTTATTTTTAACTTTTGGCTTAAAAAGTTGAACGTTTTGAACTTCTGGCTATAAAAAGTGAAAATAAAAAAAAAGACTTTTGGGACCCCAAAACGTCGAAATTGAAGAAAAACTTCATTTGTAAAAATTTAATTGGACTAAATAATTTTCCGAACTTTGGAAAATTTCAAATTTTTACGGCCAGAAAATTTAAATGTTTAGTTTTTGAAACAGAAAGTTAGAAAATATAAATGAATTTTGTTTTATACGTGGTTTTCTGGCCTAAAATTTTTTTCCATTCACATAGCGAATATTACTGTTTGAAATAGTATTTTCTTCCATGCAAAGAATAAATTGTAGCATTTAAATGATCAATATAAAGTGATTATTAACATCACGATTTTACTGCTTGAAATGGGAATTTTTTTAAGTTGATCATTACTTATTATAAATTATCTATTATTTATTACAGTTTAGTTTTTTCCGTGTAAATTTTTATTACGTTTAAAACTCTCAAATCCCACCTGACGTCGATTTTTTGTTCCAATTAATAACAAAAAAAAAAGTCTATTATCCAAACAATTTATACTTCACAAGTCACTCGCTTTGTAAACACATGCAATAAACACATTTCAGCCGTCAACTTTATCCGTCATCCATATCATCGTTACTCTACCGTATAATAATATGATATTAATTAAGAATACTTAATCTTCATGTACTTTTAATTTATAAAAAAAATTTTAATTTTGTAAACTTTGAACCAAAAATTCAGTTTATATTCAACCAAAAAATAGAATAGATCACTATTTTTGTTAATTGTTTTAACTAGGGTTTGTGATGTTTTACCAGCTATTCTACAAAAAGTGATCAAAATATTTGCAATTAAATTTTATTCTAAATTAGTAATTTTTTAAAAAAAATATTTTTTTTCATCAAATTTCAATTTTTTAGTAATTTTTATCTAATCATAGATCATCAGTATATTGAATAAAAAAATTACGCGTACAATTGAATATAATACTATAAATAGCGACAATTCCTCCTCTCTTCAAATAAAACTGGTTATCATTTTTATTCTATCATTATAAATTCATAATATAAAAATTAAATTTAAAAATCATCTATTTAGTTATATAAACTATTTTCAATATCGAAACTAATTGGCAAGCTCATCGCTTGATACGATAGTTAATTACACACGCGAATGCCAGCATAAACTTATGAGTCAGCTGTGCAAATGCTCGCGAGGCGTAGCTGGAGCTATAAAAAAAAAAAAAAACTTCTGTAAATCACTATTTGCATTGAAATCAAAGTGCCCCTTCCTACTATATAAATAACTTTACAGTTACCTAATAAATAATAAATAACAAATTAAAAATTACGTAATTAACTATTCTATTGAGAACAAAAATAAATTACCATTCGCTTCGGAATTTTGTCTCCCAGGGCATGCCCGATTATGAAGAGCAGGTTAATAAGCAAATACCCCGCGACAGTCGTGTAGATAAGTGCAACATCGTCCAGTTTCGACCTCGGTCTGTTGTACATCCTTTGATGGTACGAATTCAGCGGGTCCACGACTAAGCCGATGATAAACACCGCGAGGACCTGAAATTTAATAAATGAATTAAACATTAATTTCTAACACAACGTGTGTTCTTATATTTTTTATTATTTTACACTAATTGTAAAAAAATATTGAAAAATAGTGAAAGTAACACAAGTTTGTCTGCAAGGTTAAATTACGTCAGGTTTTTAATATTATATTTCAAAGATGATATGTATACAATATCTATGTGCGTTAATAATAAAAATATATTTAATATTAAAGGTAGAAGTCGAAATTTTCGTTGTTTTTCTTGAATTTTTAAGATGAAAATTTTAATTGTTCATAAAGATCTTAATTTTTTATATCAAAATTGTTATCTCCTTTATGATTTTTGGTCATTAATTTTTAAACGTCTAAATTATTAACTAAAATTATATTATAAATTTAATACTTTTTAAAGTTTTGCACGTCTTCTGTACTACACAGATAAAAAATTGTTCTTGAATCAATTATATAATTTTGAAGAACTTAATATTCTTGATTTGAGTAAAAAAATTCTTAAACTAATAAATTTTTCTTGGTTTAAGGAAATTTTACTTGATTTAAGAATTTTTCGTCTTGATTCAAGACAATTACCCTGAAAATTATATTCTTGGTTCAAGAATTTTTCTCTTGAATCAAGTTAATGTTCTTTTCAGTGTAGCACTTATTTTTTTAGTAAATAAATTTTTATAAAAAATAAAAAATCCGCTTGTAGAAAATTTAAAGAAATATAGAAGGATTAAAAATAATATTGATGCCTGCTAACCTTAGTGCCGTCAATACTTTCACTAAATAGTCTATGGATAATTTTTAAATATAGATAACTAATTGAATATTGACAAAGAAAAAATTTTAACACACATACGTTAGAAATTTTATTTAAAATCTAAATGTCACTTTTTTTATGTGTGAATGACAATTTCAACAGAATTATAAATTTTTTATTTTAAATAATTTTTTATTGTAAAAAATTTTTAACATTTTTTTATAATTTATCTAAAAAGCAAACAAAAAATTCACTAAATTTATATTTTTAATAAAATCATCTTTCATTATTTTTTTTTTTTGTAACTAAACAAATTATTACACAAAAAAAAATATTTAAAAAATTAATAAATTATTAAAATTAATTCATACTAATTCCGTCACCAAATTTTAAATTTCAAAACATTTTATGAAGAAGTTATAATAATAAAAGTTATCCAACATTTTTTATTTTTTTATTTTCCTTATTAAATTATAACTAAAAAATATTTTTTAAAAATTGCACTTATAGTTTTTGAAGTTTTTAACAAATGAAAAAAATTTTTTTATAATAATTCTTTAATAAAAAAAATCATAAAAATTTCTAAATGTCGGCTAACTTTATTTTCATGAAAAAGTTACAAAATATTTAAAGTTATTCAGCACGAACCATGTAATTTTTTATTTTTTTCGTGTAAACAAAAAATTGCACATATACTTTCTTTAATTCTCTACACGTGCATTTTATTGTTTATTAAAAAAAAAAAAAGTAATTATTGAAAAAAATTAAAAACAAATATACAAACCACTTCAGTAACTTTAGCCACAATAGTCGTAACATGAAGAGATTTTCTCTCTTTTGCGACAGGTTCAGTTGGTAAAGTTTCGTCAGCCATCCTGACTCTTTTTGGTCTACCTCTGCCGTCTCCCAGCTTGATAGATTTTTAACAAAACTTTGTTTATCCGAAATCAGCGTCTTTAAAAGACGAGTCTAGTCTTCGTAACTTAAATTCTCTTCCTTCGACAAATGTAATTTAAATAAAATAAAATCACTAGCGATAGAAACAGAACACCTGAAAGATTTCGCAATAGAGTTCAATGGCCTTCAGCAATGTAAAATAAATACAGAAAAAAATAATAATAAATTACGTACTTGAACCTTCAATTATTGTGATATGACAGTCCAGTAGAGGAAACGGCAAATTTCATTCACTTTACCGCAATTTTAACTTTTATTTATCAAAATAAACATACTGAAATTTTTATTTTTATTTAAATATCAAAATTGTACTCCAATGTTGTTTTTGGAGTGCAGGGGCTCTAAGTTTTGACTAGAACCAACGCGAAGACAAAGTGGACACTGAATACGAGTAAAGCAGTGGGCACGTAACCGTGTCGTGGTCGCAACTTAAACTGGAACGCGGAGCGTGACACGACAGGCGTCTCGACGTCGACAGGGCACGGCAACTTCTGAAAGGCATTACATGCTACAAACTACATACTACATAGGCTTAGGCGAGTCCCGGTGGCGAGTACATCGTGCGTACGCTAATACTCTACCCGGAGGGGGAAATCGCGCTGTGGAGGTGTACACAATGCTTATATGTATTCTGAGACACGTCATCCGCGGGCATGTGTGAGTGGTAAACACGCCATAGCACCGATGCAACCAACTAGGAAAGAATCGTGCTCTTTACTTACATTAGCTCTGGGTGCGGTCATTCATTCACTTTTTAATTGTAAAATATATTGTTTTATTGCTTGCTATTTTAAGGACAATTGATTCCAATTTTCATTATTTTTGATAACTTGTTCTTTTTGAATAAAATCAACTCCAAAAATTTATCTGTAGAAAATTTAGAACTATACAAACGATTTTTTAATGAAAATTATAGTAATTTATATCAAGTATAAAAAGTTTGATAATAATTCAATTTTTAACAGTAAATAAAATTTATAATTTTTACTATTTTTTACAAAAAAACATTTTTTTTTTAATTTCTCTGTAGGACGATTGGTAGTTGATAATTATTCAATTCTTTATAATAAATATAATTGTTAAAATTAATTGTTTTGTATGACATTAAAGTTAGCAAGTCACTAAAGAATTTTTTAATTTTTTTTTAACAAAAAAATTTGTTCAAAAAAATTATTTTTAAAAAATTGCATTTTTAATTTTTTTTTTTTTAATTTCTACATGTCAATTTTTTTAATATTATTTTTTGGCCATAATTTATTTGTTGAAAAAAATTCTAAAAATTATTAAATATCTGCTAAATTTATTATCATTTGTTTTGTTGCAATATATTTTGAGGATAATTAATTTTAAATTGTTTGTTTTCATTAACTTTTGTAAAAAAATTTGAAAACTTTGATACCTTTAAATACACATTTTTTTTTAATTTGTCTGTTTATAGTGATTGATTTTAATAGCAAAATTTTAATAATTACTTAATTTTTAAGAAAAATTACTTAACTTTTTACAAAATAAATTCTAAAAATATGCTATATTAAATTTTATTTTTATCTATTAAGGTAGTACTACCGGTTTTAGAATTGACGTTCAGAATTTAATGAAATTTGGCATATTGGTACTTTATAATATCATAATTAAGCAGTAAAATTTTTGGAACCTGAGCAAGTCCTGAAAAAAAGATATTAACATTTATAAATTTTTGTTTTTAACATTGACCCTTATGAGAAATCACAGACTTTATTTTATTTCACAAAACTGGACGTTGAGATTTCTATGATATTGGTATTAATAGAAAGAGAAAAATTTATTGAATATTGTGTGCAAATAAAACCATAAACATCAAGCTTGTGATAAGAGTAATTAATAAATAATTGAGAAAAAAGTACTAGTCAATTTAAATGTCGCAACGCCGCAGAAAAGGTTAGGATGCGCGCGAAATTCAAACATACACCAATTTTTTTTTTTTTTTTCGTTTAATTTCTTAGCCACTGCGATTTGTTTTAGATTTTTTTTATACATCTTTTCGGTAATTACTTTACCTTTCTAATTAAATACTTTTTTTGTGCAATTTAATAAATTTAACTCTGACATTTCTGTAAATAGACACACGCAACTGACAATTCGTGTAAAAATAAATAAACGTATGCGCATAGATTTCCGCGCATGAACTCATAAGTTGAGTGAAACAGAAAATATCTCTATCTCTTTAGTTTTTACGCGACGTTGTCAGATGAAAATACTACTGAAGCCAAATTACACAAAGCACTCATTGGACACTTGTGGTAATGGTAGTACTACCTTAATGTTATATTACACGAAAATAAAACAGTTGAAAAATTACTCTTCTTTGTAGTTTCAAATGAAATTTTTATAAAATAAATTATTGATTTAAAAAGTTGCGAAAGTAATTTTAGTTTTAAAATGCACCACTTAAAAAGTTTTTAAAAATTTAATTTTTCCAATTTTTTGCCTGAGGTGCTCAGCTACTACAATTTATAACATAATATAAATTCTTAATTTTCACCTTACAATATTTTTTTGTCTATAGTTAATTTTCAAATGTGAATCTCATTATCAAATGACATTTGCTCTATATTAATAAAATTTTTTTGGCTTAAAGTTTAAAAAAAGTGTATTAAATATTTATTAAATCAAAGTAAAAAATGCACCCCGCAAAAATATAATAATAATTATCTATTTATTTATCTATTCAATATCATTGAATTTAATAATCCACATCATTAAAATATTCATTATTCAACGCATTAATTCTCCAAGTTCTTAATAACAACAAAAATAAATCCCCTTCCAAAGAGGGTTGGTCTATCCCACATTTATTTACATTTATTTCCGCGTTCAATCATTAAAATAATTTCACAACATTGTACAATCGACCACCTGGCTCTGACTCTTTTTGTTTATATCACAGCCGAGTGCAGTAATGATAGTTACTTGCTACTTTACAATACAAGAATTTGTGCGCAATAAAGGGCATCATTAACCAAAGCCAATACTTTTCTAACAATGACCTAAATAATTTCTTAATTACTAATAATATGATGAATTATTGCATTTAATACTTTCATAAATGAAAAATTTTATTTTAATCTTAATACCTAAAAAAAGTTTCTAACAAATTCTTAATATTTTAACTCTTCTGATTTTAGTAGAAAAATTAATTTTATTAAAGTAGTTGTCGTAGTTAAACCATACCGTCAGAAAATTATAAATTTTTGTATACTTATTAAAGATATGATGATACAACTACCCTAAAAATTTGAAGTCGATTGACAATCTATAAACCGAGATAAATTCAATTAAAAATTTGCAGTTCTGTACCAGTTTCTTGATTATAAAAAAAAAAACTAACTGTCAGAAACTTTCAAAAAACTGACAGTCTTTTAATGTATTTTTTGTGAGTTTAAAAAAAATTTTTTGACCGTCTAATTATTTATAAATAACGGATTAAAGTTGAACAATTTATGAAAAATTATGTACTTACAGTCTTGCGTAAAAATTGTGGATTACTTAGCTACAAACTCATATTTTTTTGCGGCGCGTATAATCTCTAATTTTTTGACAATATTGTATCATGACAACTACCTTAAATTAAAATTTATTATTTGATCAATAATAAAATTAATAATGATAATTCAGGGTGGCGATTGACCTGGAAAACCTGGAAATGTCAGGGAATTTGAAATTTCTGGAATAGTCAGTGAAAAATCAGGGAGTTTTAACTTGGGTCAGGGAAATTTCTAGTTTATTTTAAACAATAAACTAAAATGCTGTAGAAATAATAAATTATTTCTATAGCATTCTAAAAATCGTACTGCAGATAATTTTTAATATTAATTGATGTTATTTAATTTCTTAATTTATATTTCTTCTTTTTTGTGATAAATAATATTGAAAAAACTGAACGTATGGATAATAAATAATAAAAAAAGGCCATTCGGCAGCCGAAATGGAAGTAGATTTCATAATAAATATAAAAAAAACTACCAGAATTAAATACAAAAAAAAAAAAAAAAAAATAATGACATCAAAACGAATGCAAAAGTAAAATTTCATTAAATCTGTCTGAGAAAGTAGATAATTTTTAAACTAGACTGATAATGAGTTATGCAAATTAAAGTTTACTGAATAAGCTTTCAGATGCAATTTACAGAAAATCGATGGGACGTCGCGTTCAATCGTTATCGCACTAAAATACGAAAAAACTGAAAATTTTTGTAATTTTCAATAATTTTTGAATTGCTGTCATTCCTAAACTATTTAATTTAGAAAAATAGACAAGTATACAAATTAAAGCTTATTAAATAAGCTTTCAGATGCAATTCACAAAAATTAAATATGATATCTCATTTAATTGTCATTGCATGAAAATACGGTAAAAGTGAAAATTTTGGTAATTTTTGAAAATTTTTAAATCGCTCCCATTTTTAAACTAATCGACCGATTTCGCTCATCTTCGAACTTAACCTCGGAAATCGTCCTAAGAATGAGTATGTTACGTTTTATTACGATCCGCATAGAATTGCGGGAGTTAGAGACTTATATAAACTTTTGAACCATATGCATTTTCTGAATCCGCTTGACGAGCTGAGTCGAAATATAGCGAAATTTTTCAAAAGTTTAATTATTTAATTTAATTTTCAAAAGAAACTGATCTTTTTTGAATAGTTGAAAATCTGCAAAAAAGTATAACATAATTTATAATTCCAAATGTTTACTCAATTCTGGATATTAGATATGAATTCTAGCAAACAAAAATTATTTTTAAAATAATTTGCAGTAATAACGGATATTTGAATAAAAATTATTTCTTTGTAGGTTTTGGAATTTTATTTTTGGTCAGGGAAAAGTCAGGGAATTTTGAAATTAGTGTTCAGTCGCCACCTTGTAATTATATTAAAG